ATCTTGTTGGTGGTAGTGGAAAGAGTTATAGAGGCACATAATGGGCTCAGGGACTGAACCCCACAATTCATTTAGAGTACATAGCATTGATGTTTTTACATTCTTGCAAAGCCACTAGCCTGGCTAGTGGAGCGCCAGCCTGGCTATGCAGCTCCAGCCTGGAGTCCATACCTAGTTAAACACAAGACAAAGTTAAAGAAGATTCAGCGGTATGCCACCAGGCTCGTCCCGGAACTGAGAGGTATGAGCTACGAGGAAAGGATAAAGGAGCTGAACCTCACGTCCCTGGAAAACAGAAGAGTAAGGGGGAGACATGATAACCACCTACAAAATTCTAAGGGGAATTGACAGGGTGGACAAAGACAAACTCTTCAGCACAGGCGGGACACGAACCTGGGGACTCGGGTTTCCACCCGGGGACTCGGGTGGAAACTTAGTACCCAGATGAGCCACAGAGACGTTAGAAAGAATTTTTTCAGTGTCAGAGTAGTTAATAAATGGAATGCATTAGGCATTGATATGGTGGAGGCTGACTCCATACACAGTTTCGAGTGTAGATATGATAGAGCCCAGTAGGCACAGGAACCTGTACACCAGTTGATTGACGGTTGAGAGGCGGGACCAAAGAGCCGAAGCTCAACCCCCGCAAGCACAACACGCATAGCGTTTCGGGCAGGTCCTTAATCTAACAGATAATTTTAAGTAGGTAATTTCTAGCAAAACTGAAAAATGTTAACAGGTACATTGTAGCATAATTTGAGGATTATTTCGAGGTATATTGTAGTAAAATAATGCGTCATCAAAGTACTAGGTTGCTTTAAACTAGTGCTAGTGCTAGCACTATAGGGTCGCGGTAGTTCTCGACGCACAATAAAAAATCCCGGGTTCAAATCCCGGGTGGGACAGAACTGGTTGGGCACATTTCCTTTCAGCTAATGGGCCTGTTCACCTTGCAGTAAGTAGGTACACAGGAGTTAGTCAACTTGTTGTGGGGTAACATCGTGGGTGGGGTCAGTAATTCGACTCTAGGGCAAGGGGGGGACTCGATAAAAGCAAAAATGAATACACTCTGGCTTCCTGTCCCGCGACACAGTGAATTATAAAGCACTAGTACTAGTGATATGATGTTTATGTATATTGGCTGTGATGTTTATGTTGCTGTGAGGAGGGAAGTAGATTGATTGATGAAGATTAAGCCACCCAAAAGATGGCATGGGCATGAATAGCCCGTAAGTGATGACCCTTTTGAGCCATTACCAGTATCAATAGATACTGGAGATCTGTGGAGGTGCGACTGCACCCTGCGTGACGGGAGATGTCTCCCCCGTGGGAGGGAAGTATATGGTCGTGGCCATATATATGGCCGTAATATCCGTAATCCGGTAGGAGGAGAGGCAAGTGGTAGTGATGGCTGGCCAGGAAACACTAGAAGAGGCTGAAGAGTGAGTGTTGGGATGTAGAGCAGCGAGTCTCTATAGAGTCTGACGTGTGGAGTAAACAACATGAACTGCACCATGATATGTATGCCTATAGAAGAGGGGTTGGCATAGTGGAATGTATTACAACTCTGTTAGCCCACCTGAATGACAGACCAGGAATGCTGATATTCCTGGACCTTGAGAAAGCCTTTGAACTGGCTAGCGCCCCAGCTATTCTCTACTGCCTCATCGACAAAGAGGTCAAAGGCAACCTGCTCTCCTGGACCAAAACTGTCTTATAAACAGAGAAGCAAGAGTAAAACTTCATGGCACAGTCTCTGAATACAAAATACATGTAAATGGTACACCACAAGGAGGTATTCTCAGCCCCCTTCTCTTCAACTGTTTACTGGAAAGAATAATGAGGTTGAAACTCCCTCATCACTACGGGTTGCTATACTCGAGACATTGTATGTACTACCTCTATCTATAAATCCATCAACTTTTGTATTTCACCTTGTATGTATGTACTTTACCTGAATAACTATTTGTATTTGTATTTGTAACTACGCGGACGACTTTGTCATCATCATATAAGGAAGGGATGCGGCGCGCCTTGCACCCAAATGCTTAGACTGCATCAGTAAAGAGGCAAAACAGATTGGTATCAAACTCATCCCCACAAAGACAAAAGCCATGCTCATAAAAATAGCGAAGACCAACATCCAACTCACAGTACAGGGTCAACCAAATGAATGGGTGGACACCTATCAGTATCTAGGAATAATCCTGGACACACATATGAATTTTAATGCTGAGGAGTCCAGCAGTTGTTGTTGTTATAGATTCAGCTACTCGGAACAAGTTCCAACTAGCACGGGCTATGGTGAGCCCGTAACTTACCTGGCACAGGAGCGGGGCAAGTAGCACGGGCTATGGTGCGCCCGTAGTGGACTTACCTGGCACAGGAGTGGGGCTGACCTGTCCAGCAGATAATTTTATTTATGAAGATTAAGCCACCCAAAAGGTGGCACGGGCATGAATAGCCCGTAAGTGGTGGCCCTTTTGAGCCATTTCCAGTATCAAAAGATGATACTGGAGATCTGCAGAGGTGCGACTGCACCCTGCGTGACGGGAGATGTCTCCCGTCCCGAATGTGTTAAAGATTGATCGATAGCCACCCAAAAGGTGGTTATGGGCATGAATAGCCCGTAAGTGGTGGCTCTCTTGAGCCATTACCAATATCAAGAGCTGATACTGGAGATCTGTTGAGGTAAGACTGCACCCTGCGTGACCTGTCCAGCAGCTGGACACCCTCATAAATACTGTCAAGCAGTATGCTCCCTCGCGATAGCAGCCTGACGATTAAATGCTACCTTAGAACACTGAAAAGATTTACTTAACAAATCATTGTACCACTTACGGGCTATTCATGCCCGTGCCGCCTCTTGGGTGGCTTAATCTTTATCAATCGAGTGTTAACTGTAATTAGGGAAGAAGTATGAGTTTTGTCATTAGTGGATTAAGTAGACTTAACAAACCCATCTCATTAAGCTAATAAGAGTTTGGAGTTTTGTTTAGTTCACTAAATATGCACCCCATACCCGCTCACACTAGTGGAAAGAGTTACAGAGGCACATAATGGGCTCAGGGACTGAACCTCTGAGCATAAGATGTAGATCTAGAAAGCTTTTTCCTCGAGTGGGCTCTGCCACATGCTGTGTGAGAAAGGAGTCCTGTATCAGGTAAAAAAAAAAAAATTATTTTGCTTGCGATGTTAAGTTTACTCAATCTATTGTCTCGTGGTTGAAGTCCCCCATTATAAGGATTTGGGTTTCTGATGCCTCACTGATCACATTATACAGGTCAGCAACTTCCTCTGCTATTTTGCAAGATTGTGCAACTAGCAATCATATGTAATCTCATCTTCTGTAACATGTAAATCATGTAACGTGGTTATAAATACGAGCTGCCTCATATGGGCCAATAGGCCTTTTGCAGTTACCTTTGTTCTTATGTTCTTATGTATCCAAGAATGGAAACCTCCTTTTCAGAAGGACATAGCTGCTCAGGAGAAAGTGCAACACCGGGCAACAAAAATCATATCAATGCTGTTATTTCTCGTATCAGGAACGGGTGAGGGCCACAGGGCTAACAGCACTGCAAACCAGGCATGACAGTGCGGATCTCATTGAAACTTTTAAAATACTAAACAATTTGTAGAACGTTGATCCGGACAATTTCTTCAAATGGTCAGATGTAACACAAACAAGGAACAACGGTTTCAAGCTCAACAAGCCACAATGTAGAACTGAGAACAGCAGATGGTTTTTTACCCACAGGGTTATAAACCCATGGAACCGCCTACCCGCCGAAGCCGTAAATGCCATGACTTGAATTTCAAAATCTAACTGGAAAAGATTATCAAGGTAAATGGGGGGAACCTTTTGAGAAGCCTCCGGCTTCCTGTCCTCGTCAAGGCCACTAGTGTCAGTGGCCCTCAGGTACAACAAAAACTGTCGGACGCTTTTGATATTTCGTGGAATACCTGGGAATATGTTGCAGATGTTATTTGTAGTACGTAGAGTTCTTGGGGATAATTTAAGTAGCTGATAAAGAATTTATGATAAGGCTGCTATACTGTCCTCAACGAGGCCACTAGAGAGAGATTTACCTGAATTTACCTGAATTTATCTGGTGGTGGCCCTCAGACAAACTCAGGTAAACTAGCTTTTGATCTATACTCTTTAATCCCTCATAACAAGTAGGGTGGCACCACATGTGCCACATAAGCTTGCAAAAAAGAAAAGAATAAAGAGTAACTTGCATCATGAGAATGAGGCTGTGCGAGTGACATCATCACATAATGATGACATAATGACATTTATTAACAGTAATGTATCGTGATTTATATACGTTTGCCATCCAGATACTAAGTCTGAGTTATAGTCCACGTGGCGCCGTGGTAAGACACTCGCCCGACGTTTCCTTTGCGAGCGTTTTGGCATGGGTTCGTATCCTGACCGGGGGAGGATTGACTGGGTGCCAGTCCTTAACTGTCGCCTCTGTTCACCCAGCAGTGAACTGGTTGTTAAACGATTTGGCGGGTCGTATTCCGAGGAAAATTAGGATTAATTAAAGACCTGCCCGAAACGCTATGCGTGCTAGTGGCTGTACAAGAATGGAAGCTGATCAGAATTACATTTCACCTTTGTAAATGCACATTAATGACACTATGTAAAAGACATATCGAACACTTTATGTACGGCATACGTAAATCTGTGTACATATCTATGTATTTACGTATGTAGGTTAGCTTAGCATTTTAAAAGCACCGAATCACTTTCTGTGGTTGATTGTTCAATAAATCCCTGAAGTATATATTTAACACATCTCTAACCCTGTCCATGGAGGACAGAAGAAAATGTATATATGCTGGTTAGCATTGTAAATGTCCGGCCACGTCTGTGGTAGAAAATAATAATAAAAAAAAGTAAGAACTCTTGTATATATATAAAAAAGTAGCTCTCCTTATTACAATAAATAAGTAGGCATGTTTACTGAAATTATAATAGTAGGTATACTTATGATCCTTGCACCATGTTGTAAGGGATCCCTTGCACCACGGAGCCCTTACCATAACACTGGCCTTCGAGGGCACCCGCCGCATAGTCCGCTCGCTGCCTGCACACTACGACCCTCAACACTCGCCTCCACCATCACTTGCAGGCAATACGTGAGTTCCTGCCTTGTATAGTGACACACAGTCACATCCCAGCTGGTGACACGTTCACCTCAAAGCTGGTGACACAACCCAGCTTGTGACACGTTCACCTCAAAGCTGGTGACACAGTGTCAGCTTGTTAACAAACGTTCACCTCAGGAAGATGTGGTGGACACTGACTCCATATACAGTTTCAAGTGTAGATATGATAGAGCCCAGTAGGCTCAGGAACCTGTACACCTGTTGATTGACCTGAAAGCGGGACAAAAGCCAGCTTGTGAGACCCCCGCAAACAAACTGGTGAGTACTCTCTCCTCCCAGCTGGTGACGTACACTAGCTCAAGTTCAAATAAGTTTATCGAGAAAAGGAAGTACATCTCAAAAGGATATACTGTAGTAGCTTAGACTATTTCTACCCTTGTCTATATAAAGTCCCTCAAGATGCTCACAGAGGTGCAAAGGGTTACGGGCTATGGTGAGCCCGTGCTACATGGACACTTCGTTCTGAGTAGCTAAATCTAAAACAACAACAACAACAACATGGTCACAAACCCATATGGTACACAATTAATCATTCTACATTCCACATTCCAATGGTAATCACATGGCATACTGTGAGATCTCTTATTGATTATGCTGTCCCTGTCATTTCTTGTTTTGGTAAAGGCAGACTAAACAAATTGGAGAAGGTAAAAAACGAAGCCATGAGAATAATCCCAAGATTATTCTCATGGCCCAAGAAATACTATTACTGAGACAATGATATGATTGAACATACAGAGTATTGGGGATGGAATTTCAGAAATAAATGAAGCTTCGGCGATTAGGCGATTTAAACTAATGAGAGGCAAGGGAGCTAATGAATGAATCCTCTCACTTCAAAATGTGGGAAGAAATGAATTATGTATGTGCAAGCATAATAAGATCCTTATGTTCTAAGGTTACGAAGTATAATGTCGTTCAAGAATGTATTTTATTGCCAGAGAAACAACTAACACCAACATGGGAGGAATACAGAGTAGATGCAATAATTTTTCCCTCCATGTTCCCAGACTGTTAGCTTTGCTGAGGTTTGCCAATTTTTTTATTTTAATTTTATTTTAATTTTATTTTAATTTTATTTTAATTTTATTTTAATTTGTTTATTTTAATTTTATTTTAATTTGTTTATTTTAATTTGTTTATTTTAATTTGTTTAATTTGTTTATTTGAATTTGTTTATATTAATTTTTTTATTTTAATTTTTTATTTTTATTTTTATTTTTATTTTTTTAATTTGTTTATTTTTATTTTATTTTATTTTTATTTTATTTTATTTTTATTTTATTTTTATTTTATTTTTTATTTTATTTTTTATTTTATTTTTATTTTCATTTTATTTTCATTTTTATTTACATTTTATTTATTTTTTTTTTATTTTTTTTATTTTATTTTTTTTTATTTTTTTTTTATTTTTTTTATTTTTTTTATTTTTTTTTATATATTTCTATTTTTATTATTTTTATTTTTATTTAATTTTATTAAGAAGGTACATTGGGTGTGTGAGAGTACAGACCGTTGAAGTTTTACCTTCTTGTAAAGCCACTAGCACACACAGCATTTTAGGCAGATTCTTAATCTAACATATAATTTTAAGAAGGTAATTTCTAGCAAAATTAAAAAAAATATTTGCAGGTATAATTTAAGAAAGTATAAAAAGTACATTGTAAGAAAGTAAAAAAAAATACATTGTAAGAAAGTTTAAAAATAATACATTAAATAAGAAATTTGACAGAAAAAAAGTAGGTACATCACAGTAAGTTTAAGGTGTTTATCCACAGGTACATTGTAGCATAATTTGAGGAGTATTGCGTGGTATAATGTAGTAAACTATGTGTATAACATGATATAAGATAATAGCAATGATTACAATGGTAAAGTTATATGGCTTAGGTACATATATTGGGAAATTGGATAGCACTAGTTACAGTGCGAATTTCAAGCACTAGGTAGGAAACTATGAAGATGAAATTGGGTACTTTTTGGTTTTATGTTTGAATAAGGCAAAAGTTTGACAGCTTTTCAATTCGTTAGGGAGCGAGTTCCATAGGCCAGGTCCCTTTATTTGCATAGTGTTTACACAGATTAAGTTTGACTGGGGATATCAGAGATATTTATTTCTGGTGTGGTGATTGTGTGTTCTAGTCCATCTGTCCAAGAAGAGTTTCAGACCATGGTTTGCACTTAAGAACAAGGTGCTAATACAGGTTGATAATGAACAGGTATTATCGACATCTCCTTGTCCACGGCTTCCCCACATTTTAAGTTATTGAGAAGCAAAAGCTCCTTAGAGACTCCCAGCATTTTGAAATTTCTTCTTCCTCAGCCCTTATACACTCTTTACTACCATCAAAGGTAACTCTATTCTTAACTACCAGCCTCCGTGGTGTAGTGGTAAAACACTCGCCTGGCATTCCGCGAGCGCTTTGTCATGGGTTCGTATCCTGGCCGGGGAGGATTTACTGGGCGCATATCCTTAACTGTAGCCTCTGTTTAACACAACAGTAAAATGTGTACTTGGTTGTAACAACGATTCTTCGCGGCGGGGATTGTATTCCAGGGACCTGCCCGAAATGCTACGCGTACTAGTGGCTGTACAAGAATGTAACAACTCTTGTATATATCTCAAAAAAACTATATCTTCAAATTCTATTTTTGTAAACCATTTTTCCTGAGCTTCTGTCAACATTTTCCACCGCATGGGGTTGATTACTGCTATCATTAGTGGAGAGTTCATTTTCCTGAGACTATTCCATCCGTGATACACCATCCTCTTCCTTACTTTCTTTCCTTCTCCATTTCATTGCCTACTACACCCCATCTGAGAATACTTCATGCATAATGTAGGCTCCTCAATATATTTGATCACTTTCCTGATTCTAAGTCCTTGCACAAAGTCTTTCTGGAGCCTCACCTTTTAACAAGGCAACAATCCGGCTTTGTTTTTCCACCACATACAATGTTCCTTTTAGCCCACACAACACTTTTATTGTTGAGATGAAGAAATTCAGGATCCAAATATGTCGGATACTTAACCCTTAAACTGCGCAAAACGTCACATGATGTGTGACATTGAGCTCAGTTTTTTAAATTTTCTGAAACTCTTTCAAATGTTTTGTGCATAATATACTAGGCAAATGCTCTAACTTTTGTCTGAATGATATCAGTGTAACTTGAAAAACAAGAAAATAATTTTAAAAATAATTATAAAATTGAATATTGAAAACTTCAGATTTTAAAATCGGCTGCAAAAATATAAAATATCACCAACTGTTCATTTGGTGTTGTTATGCTCTCAGAATAGCATATGATTTTCATTTTCATATACTGTATATAGAATATTGGTTTTCATTATAGTTTAATGTAAAAAAAGTTTGTCTATGGCTTTTGAAATACTGTACCCAGCTCCAGTAAAGCCAGTAAAATGGCTCCAATAAAGCCTTTCATCAGATCAGTAGAAGATACCTTTTCCATTTAGTTTTTTTGATGGCTAATTTAATTTTGTTAATATTGGTGCATACGAGATCTGTTTGGTCATCTTTATGTACTATAATTTTATTAGTTTGGGGGTGGTGGGGGACAAGAGGCATATGTAACCTTTAGGTCTCATACGGTAAAATAATTTCTAATGCAAGTAATGTGTAGTGTACTAGTACCTATATTGTTAGGGAAGAATAGTAGCAAGATTTTTATATTCCATGATTTTAATAGCATTATATTTCCGTAATGTTACATTATATAATATAATAGCATTATATTCCCGTAATGTTACATTATATTCATTATGTAATTTAATTTTTCAGAAGTTGCAGCAGTCAAAACCTGTGATGCAAGATGGCGTTAAAACAGGTTCATCAGATTTCTCTTTGGGAGAATGATAAGGTGTGTTAACCTTCATCTCATGATTTACATAACACCATAGTTGTTGCTAAGACTGTATCAGTAACTTGGTTCTGCCATTATAGAAAGTGTACTCACTTAGATGTGTTTACATGGTGATAAATCTGCCCCTCGGTTATGCCTTTTAAACCATTAGTACATTACTGTAGCTTAATATTATGACTATTCTCTCACTTTACATATACTGTACATAATGTGTATAAAATAGTTTTACATTTAAAACTATATGAAATTAGTTAAGGCATCCATTAAATACATTACATTTATTTATAAATCTAAGGTTGAAGGAGGTTTCTCTCTCCAGTTTGCATTAATGTTCTCTCATCTTGCTATTCATTAGAACTTGGCTTCTTTATTTACTTGTTAATTTCCTGTAGTATGTTATGTCTTTATCATATCTTCCTGATTCTGTTTTCCTCTATTGGGGTGAAGCCCTGTTCCCGAAATCTTTTCTCGCAGCTCAGAGCCCTTAGCTTGGGAATGAATCGTGTTGTATGTCTTTGTATCATTTTCTTATAAATATATTGTATTAGGTGTGGTCATGTGACATGTTGAGCTGTGTGCCCCATGCTCTGTGAGTTTCACACTATGGTCCATTCCTGGTAGGGTGCTCCTAGCCATTGGGCTGCTGTCCTGGTCATTTGAACAAGCAATCCCCCATGGCACAGTGATAACACACTCGCCCGGCACTTTGCGAGCGATTTGGCCGGGGTTCATATCCTAGCCGAGGAGGATTGACTTGGCGCCAATCCTTGACTGTACGCCTTTGTTCTCCCAGCAGTAAATGGGTATCTGACTGTTAAACGATTTTTTGGGTCGTATTCCATGGAAAATTAAGATTAAGGACCAGCCCGAAACACTTGTGTGTTAGTGGCTTTACAAGCATGTAAGAACTTTTGTATATATTATACCTGTATAAATAAAAAAATATATATAAATTATGTTTCTTTGGTACTTTGCACCAAAACCAAACATTTTCAGGTTATCCATTGGGTGGTTTGACTTGTCAACTTGATATGTAACCATATGCACTTGATGTGTTTAAGCATTCAGCTGTTACTACTGTACTTACTCTTCTAATATATCTATGCCTAATATTTGGGTTGAGATTTTTGGCACTGAAAGTGTTAGCTGCTCTATTTTTTGTCAAGTATCTTATTGGGGCTGTGGTGCCAAGATGCCTATCTGTCACCGATTCTTTTTTTTCTTGAGCCTTGGGTTTCTGGCCCTCTGACATCGCATAGTACAGGCCAAGCAAAATAAACTATGCATCTTGATGAAAGAAAAAAGTTTGAAAAAACCAGTGCTGAATGTAATGAAACTCCTCTGTATAGAGGAGGCGTTTCCTGTGCCACACTGGCTGGGACAGCTTGCTTTCTTTTGGCGGCCAATGTTTCTGACTGCTAGTTGTGTAATTTCAGGGGTTTTCTTTTTCTGCCTTTTTGCCCGTGAGGACAGAGGTGGTCTGCTTAGCTACTTATTAAGCATGCCTAGGTTGTTGTGGTGGTTCTGTGTTGCCCCCGAGGTTTCATGTCTGCTACTGGTAGTCAGTTTGCCTGTTTTAGACAGGGTTCTACTGGCTTAACTAGACCCAGTGCCTGGGCTTCCCGTAGGGCTTATATTCTCTATTCTTGGAAATCCCCTGTGGGCTCGGTCGTACCATTGATACTTCTTCCGAGTACACTCTCGCCTTGTGCATTGTTCGTTGCCCCTGCCTCAAGGTGATGATCATTCGTACTGCTTCCGTCATGCTGCCTGCTGGATCAGCGACACCTACGACCCAGTCTTGTGGGACTTGTTCCCTCTTGTGCTTCAATTTACTCATCTCTCATCATGATCTCAGGGATCATGCAATGGCTGCATTGCATGTTTGAGTCTCTTCCTTGCAACGGGCCAGGAGCACGGTGGCCAAATTGGAGGTCCCTGGAGTTGCCATGCTTGGGTTCTGGTGACTCGGATTTGGGGGTGTTGGTTGAAGGCCTTGGTTCAGTCCATGCCCCCTCTTTCTTCTTAGGTGGGCATGGATTGCCCTGCTCCTCCCCACTTGCTTCCAGCTCCCAAACATCTGAGGGTTTTGTAGTCAGGGCAGGGTTTACCTCAGGATGAGGCTCGGGTGGCTTCGTGGGGCTGCCCCTTCAGATTCGGACGCAGGGGTGGTTGAGCCTAATTTTCCCAACAGGGCTTCAGGGTCAACTCTGCAGACTCTCTTCTTTGGAGCTTTTCCCCTGGACTCCGACTTTTCTTCAGGGGTGGTGGGCGTGGTTAAGGGCTTTACCCCCCTTTTGTCAGGGGTTCCCAGGGCTTTGGGGGAGTCCGCCTGGAACTCTTGGGCTCTGTTTGATCCTGCTTGGGCCCTTGTGTTTTCTGGGCAGAAGTTGTTGTGCAGGTCCTGCTGTTGCTTCGGTTTCTGGCTCGGCTGGAATCCTTCGGGGAAGAGTTGTTCTCCTGGCCTCATGGTGGCCGACCCAGCCTTGGTTTTCATGTGCTGCTTGCTCAGTGTTCAGGCCTGGGCATTTTTCTGCGGTTCTGCCTTTTTTCAGTAGGTTGGGACGGTGAGGTACCTCTTTGGTTTGCCTTCCTACTCTGCAATACGTGTCTGGCATTTCTGACGCATGTGTATCGCCATTTGTAAGGTGATCAGATAGCTTCTTTGGTGGTGTCCCACCTGCGGTCTTCGTCTCGGTGACAGTTTGAAGTTTCTTGGCAGTTTTTGTCATTTTCTTTCTCTTCGTCGGTTGTCAGTTTCAGACCAGGTTGTTTTGTTCTTTCTTTCTTTCTTTCTTTCTTGGCTTTTTCTGGATTGGTGGCTTGTGCCTTGTACTGTTGCTTCTTATCGTGCGGTGTTGGCGGAGCCACTGCTACTTGCATTGGGGTGGTTTTGATTTTTGCCCAGTTTCGCTAGCTTTCTTGTATTTTTTTTTTTTTTACCTCCGGCCTGCTCATGCACTGCCTGTGCCTGCTTGGTTTTTGGACTGGGTTCTTGCTTTTCTTTCTTCTTGATTTGTGGTTGCCCCTTCGGTTCATACCTGTTTTGGAGTGCTGTGATTTTGTTGGCCTGGCCTCTGGTTCTTGGGTTGGGGAGCTTCATGCTCTTCTCCAGTGCTTGGGTTTTTGGTTCTTTGATCCTGGTTTTTTTTTTTTTTTTCGTTTGCAGCCCTCCCCTTCTTTTCTGGGGATGGTGGGTTTCCAGAGGGGTCCTCTGGTGGTGGATGCTTGGTTGGTTAGGCTGTGGGTGCATCATGTTCTGTGTTCGGTAGCTACTTTACGCTGCTACCTGCAGGCCACCGGTTCTGTGTAGGTGGACACTCTTTGCGTTGATCCAGTTTCTCTGGTTTCCTGTTCCAGGGCTTGTTTCTTAGATTGTCCACATTGTCATTCTGTCTAGCCAGCCTGTGGGTTACCCTCGCATGAGTGATATGCATCAGTATGCTGCTCTTTTGACTGTTTTTGGTGGTATGTCTTTGGTCGTTGTTCGGGCGCAAAGATTTTGGAGGTCGATCAGGGTCTTGACTGCCAAATATCTTGTCTCTTTCTTTCCTTGAGACCTGCGGTGCTGCCACCTCCTGGCTAAGTCCCTGTTTTTCCTTCTGTTTGGGTAGTTAGCTTTAGGGAGCCAGTGGGGCTTCCCACCACAGAAAATCCACAGAAAACCAGCGTTGAATGTAATGAAATGGCAGTTTCTGGGTGAGCCTTGGAGGCTCCTCAACACCATACCTCCCTCCTTCCAGTCGGCAATTTCATCATTCAAGAACTGGAGTGGTGGGCTGACAGCTTCCCCTCTGCTCTTCAGGAGTGGGGGGGGTTGCACTAATGAGCGGGAGGGCTAGTTGCATGACGTGTTGCTTGTTTATCTTCTTTCTGGGGGAGTTTTTTGCTCTTTCTGGACATAGGTCGCAATTTTCACCAGACTGTGGTTTGTTTTGTTTTGCCTATCTTTGTGGGTGCCTTTCCCGGTCAACACAACCCTGCTCCTGTGCCAGGTAAGTTCACTACTGGCTCACTATAGCCTGTGCTACTTGGAACTTTTTGTTCCCATTAGCTGAATCTAAAACAACAACGTTCCTGGTTGATGGCAATTATGATGTACTGTACTTTAAATGTAAAGTGCTATTGGGCCATTGCTCCCTACACCTTTGAGGGGGTCAGGTTCTGGCTCGCGATCCCGGGTAGGCAAAGGACTCTGCGATTGATGACCCCAAACTAATACCTGTATAGCAGTATATCAGTTCGGATATCTTCAGGGAGCCTCTGGGGCTCCCCCAGAAACTGGCGTTGCATTACTTTCAACGCTGGTTTTATGATCAAATACCTCAGGAATGTTATGCCTGTATTACCTTGTTCGAGTGTAAAAATTGACATACAGGTACCTATAATAAGACTAGAATGAACAAGAGGCATGTATTCACTATATAATTTCAGGTGGCTCCTATCCTAGCTGGAATACGCTTGGCCCCAGGAAGTGCAGAGTATGAAGAGGTTAGCTTGCAGCCTACATCCTCTCCAAGCAAAGGTATATAGTGTGTGCTTGATGATTTGTTGTTAACTTGTTTGTTAATACTTGTCAGTACTACTTGCTGAGAAAGTAATATAAAACATAGTCAGGTGAGGAGTAAATTATTTACTGTTTGCCTGTTTTCTCACTACTGTAGAGTATTTGGATTGCATGTTTAGTGGCACTAGATAATTTTCAGATATGTGCAAATCTAGATACTTTTCTAAATAATTTGAATTGTAGACAATATTTTAATCTCTGCCATTTCTCTCTGCCTCTGTTAGCATTCTTTGCTAACATATGATTTGAAATATTGATTGCAAATCTAATCAAATTTTTGTTGAGAATGGTCAGTGTTGGAAAAATAAATAGCCTAATGATGAGGTGAGAAAGTTGCAGATGTAGCTGCTATAGTACTGTATAGTATTGGCATGCTGTATTTCCGAAGGTCTTTTGATATGTGCATTACACATATGCAAGGGTCTTCTTAGTAGCTCCCCAGAGCTACTGAGGAGATTTGCTAGTGTTGGTCCGATTGTGGCTGCCTTGAAGTGCCGGCTTCAGTAGCTCTATCCAAGTCGCTTGCTCTCTCCTTCAGGAGGCAATGGTAGCTTTTTATCTGCCCTGTCTCGGGTGTAGGCAGGCTGTGCTGGCCTAAATAAATCTCCAAAGAGAAACCATCTCTTTCCTGTAACATCTCTAAGTAGATTCTTAGATTCTACTACTTTCTAGATTCTTTCGATTCTACTTGGCAGAATTTGTTACAGACTTTCTTCCTGTTCAAAAACCATACTGCCTGTCTGTTATGTTATTAGTCTCCAGGTGTTCTACCCATTTGGTTTTAACTATTTTTCTAGTGTTTTGACTACCATGCTTGTTAATGATATGGGTCTATAGTTTAGAGGTTCCTCTTGACTTCCATGTTTATAGAGTGGTACTATGTTTGCCTTTTTCCATACATCTGCTAAGATTTCTGTGCACAAGGATATCTGGAATATTAATTGGAGTGGAATGCTTGGCTCAGTTGCACATTATCGCAGCATCCAAGGTGAAACACCATCTGGTCCAACCACTTTATTTCTTCCTAGCCCCTTGAGGAATTTTTCCACTTCGTCTAGAGATATCATTACCTCTAAGTATTCTGTGGTGTGCTCTGAAGTTGGCCTGGATCTTGCTCTCTGAAATTTTCGTTTTGTACAAGCACACTTTGGAATTGTTCATTTAGTGTTTCACACATTTCTTTTTTCATTCTCAGTAAACCTATTCCCCATTCTCAATCTCTGGAGTTTATCCTTTATATGCAGCTTGCTTTTAATGTACTGTATTTATAGAAAATGCCCAGATCCATTTTACATTTGTCTGCTACCCCTTCTCAAAGTTCCTTTGTGCCTCTCCCCTCACTGTTGTGTATTTGTTTCCTGTTTGCGTGTAGTGCCAGTAAGTTTGTGGGTTAGTCCTCTTCCTATATTGTACCCATTTTCTTGTCTTTTCCTCTCTGGCCCTCTCACAATTTGTTGAACCAATCCTGTTTTCTGGTTCTGCATCTTTGTTTTTGTATGAATTTTTGTGTGCCTTCATCATATATTTCACAAAATTTGGAGTACATTTACTTCATGCCTAGCAACACGTCTGTCCAATTAAATTCATTAAAGAATTTGCCAAGTTCCCCATAGTGTCCTCTCTTGAAATAAAGTTGATCACCCATTTCAGTGTCCCCATTCTTTTCTAGATTATATTGCAAAGCATATTTAATTTCCAACAGGACATGACACTCTTTCCCAAGGAAGGAAGAAAGTGGATGTCGAATATCTCCTTCTCTTTCCTGGTGAATATTAAATCCAGTATTGACAGAACATCCCCTTCCCTCAAATGGGTGTACCATTTGTTGTGTTCGGTGGTATTTCTTCGCTGCTACCCGAGTGCAACTCGCTCTACTTTGTTGGGTTCTTAGTTGATTGATTCTATTTTCTTGGTCTGATCCTAGGCTCGTATTTTGTATAAGCCTTTCATATCTTGTATATGTCAGCTTGTACATAAGACATGCTCATCTGCACAAAGCTGCTAAACACCTCAAATGATGTTTTGGATGTGCTGCTACTTAAAATATATATACCCCTGTACTGAATATGGTGATTGTCCTTATACCCTTACAATTGTCACTATTAGCTTGCTGACTTTCTGGATGCTTTTCCGATGAGGGTGATCGTAACAATCCCCAGCTCATTGCGCCTCTGAGGGTATGCCAACAGGACTCGTATGATTGATATAACCCAGTAGTGGGAAGCCATCTCTGGGAGACAGCTTGAAGGATCCACTGGGGCTCTACCAGAAAGAGGCATTTCATTACATTCATTGCTTTATTTGGTTCAAGCACGTATTAGCTTTGAATTTTACTTATTGAAAGATTTTTCTGAATTCTGTACATCATTTATATTGTATGGTATCCATTTTTTTACAGAGCACTGTGCCATAGGCCTCCCAATGTTTCAACGAAGCTCACCAACAACAAAAATGGAAATGCGATGCTCTTACTGCCAGACCACTTTCAGCCACCGCCAAGAACAAGTCGATCATTACCGACTGGACTGGCACCGCCGTAACCTTCATCGTGCCATGCAAGGAAAATCTTCCCTTAATGAAGAACAGTTTCAAAATGAATCAAGTCAGTACTAAAGTTATAATCTCTTTGGGGGTGGGTGGGTGATGGGTAGTAACCTACAAGCTGCTATCTTAGCTTGAGGTTGCCTTGAGGTGTTTCCAGGGCGTAGCGTCCCCGCGGCCCAGTCGTCGACTAGGCCTCCTCGTTGCTGGACTGGTCAACCAGGCTGTTTGATGCAGCTGCTCACAGCCTGACGTGTGAATCACAGCCTGGTTGATCAGGTATCCTTTGGAGGTGCTATTTGAGTTCTCTTTAACACTGTGAGGGGTCGGCCAGTTATGCCCGGCCCGAGGCTGTGTTGAACAGTCTCGGGCCTCTGATGTTGATAGAGTTCTCTCTCAGAGTACCTTTTGCACCTCTGCTTTTCAACGGGGGTATTCTGCACATCCTGCCATGCCTTCTGGTCTCATGTGATGTTATTTCTGTGTGCAGGTTTGGGACCAGCCCCTCTACTATTTTCCATGTGTAAATTATGTATCTCTCCCGCCTGCACCTAAGAGAATACAGATTTAGGCTCTTTAGTTGGTCCCAGTAGTTTAGATGTTTTACTGAGTGGATTCTAACAGTAAAGGTTCTTTGCACGCTCTCCAGGTCAGCAATTTCTCCTGCTTTGAAAGGGGCAGTCATTGTGCAGCAGTACTCCACTCTAGAGAGCACTAGTAACTATAGTGTTAATTAAGCATGTCCTTCACTCACTGCTCCTCATTCAAGTACCCTACACATTTGATTATTTATTTAAATACAATATATTAAATGTTTAAGTGCATTCGAGGTCTAGGATGTCTCTCAATATCATTCGTATTGTGTATCCCTTCCGTTAATTTGCCATTATGTTTAGACAATATAATTCATGCCTTTTTCATTATTACAAACCAGGTGATGTTTCCAGTATATCGGGATCAGAAGATGACTTGAGTGAAGATGAAGACGGCAACAATGATGAGGCGGTCAAAGACAATGGTGAGGATTATGTACTCTGTGTACTGTACAGTATTTGTAAAGCATGTGCATCTATGTTGCCCCATTAAATTAGTGGAAGTGGGAAAGCAGATAAGTATAGGATTGCCAGGTGCAGTATACAGATAGGTGGATTATAACAATGTAAACTTTCACCAGTTGAAGTTAAAGTTGAAGTTAAATAGAAAATTTAGGCCTGCTCTTGGCTGGTATTAACGAATGTACTCTGAGATATGCAGTACATGTAGGTTCTCTTATTCATGTCCTAGATGGGTGAGTAAAGTAAATACCTTGTTGCTGTATCAGATTAATGAGGAAAGTGAATAGGTAAGATCTATTTTAAGAAATCTTTACTGTTTTTCAGAAGAGACTACGCCTGTATTAAGAAGACAGGCACGGATTTTCTTTGTGAATGCAGATGGTCTTGTTATATCGCTCTTCAGGAATATTTTATTTAGTGCAAAGGTAAGTAATTGTGATGGGTAATGGTACAGTTCAACTTAATAAGTACATTTAAAAGTGATGTCTGAATAAGTGCATTTTTGTGTGGGGGAGCCCCGTCGGCTTCCTGGAGCTATCCGAACTGATAGTGCTTTATTAGTTTGGTGTCATCAATCGCAAGAGTCCTTTGCCTACTGGGAATCACGAGCCAGAACCTGGTCCTCTCAGAGAGGTGCAGGGAGCAATGGCCTGTGAGGACTTTACTTTTAAAGTATGTAAGTATGTCATATTTTGCCATTGACCGAGGAAGGCACCCAGAAAGATAGGCAAAACAAAACAAGTGACAGACAGGTGAAAATTGCTACTGTACCTACATCCTGAAAGAGCAAAAAAAAAAAAAAAATAAAAAAAATCCAGAAAAAAAGTAAACCAGCAACCCTTCATGCAACTAGCACTCTCGCTCGTAAGTGCTCCCCCCCCCCACCCCTCCCTTTTTAATTTAGCTTTTGTTGTTAAAATACCAGTTGGTTTTATTTGTGTTAATTTTTTTATTTCGTTTGATTGACTGTACTGTATTAGTACAGTACAGATCATTAGATCACGCTGGACTTGTGATCCTGTGGTCCCGGGTTCGATCCCGGGCGCCAGCGAGAAACGATGGGCAGAGTTTCTTTCACCCTATGCCCCTGTTACCTAGCAGTGAAATAGGTACCTGGGTGTTAGTCAGCTGTCACGGGCTGCTTCCTGGGGGTGGAGGCATGGTCGAGGACCGGGCCGCGGGGACACTAAAGCCCCAAAATCATCTCGAGATAACAAGATAACTAGGTATCAACCAGGTATCATATTGGCCTCATTTTGTCAGCTGAGTATGTGCCCTAGTGTGGCTTTGTGTATATTACAAAAGTCTGGCTCTCTTCTTTCTTCATGTGGTTTTAAGTTTTCTGCCTCACTTTGTCTGGCAGTTGCTAAACATAAATTGTTATGCACTCCTTGTATTGCTTAGGTGTTTACACTGCTGTCCTTTGATCCTGGGTCCACTGTTCTGGTCTCATACTAGTATGTTATGTTCAGTTTTTCTCCTGTCTTTCCACCTTTCTGTGGTGTAAAGTGTTTATTGTTTTGATAATGTTCTCTGCTTTAAAGCTTTTGGATTCTGTTAAGGCTAGGTCTGTCTGTATGTGTATCTGTATGTCTGTCTCCTGCTCCTTGGATGTTCTGAGGCCGCTTGACGCTTGCGTGGTGTACCACTGCTGTTCCTCTTCGTTGAGTCCTGTTCATCTTTTGTCCCTTTCTCAAGTAAACACTTTTGCCTTTACTTTCTTCTTATCAAATTTGCTGTTATCTACCAAGGAGTTGATAAGAATAAATACATGGGAACCAACTTGTTTTCTGTGAATAGTACTGTGCTTATGGTGGAGCAGATGATTTTAGTCTAAGTTTATATGAACCTCCAACAACACCATCTGCTGCCACTAATCTGAAACTCCTCTGTGATCAGTTGTCCTAAATCTTTCCAGTGTGAAATAAATGGTGAGCAAGATGTGGTTCAGCGGGTGCTGGCAGCTCCACACAGACAGAGCTGGGCTATCATTCTCCTGGGTGGTGGGCATTTTGCTGCTGCAGTCTTTAAAGGTGGGTTTCCTATTTTGGTTAAAATTAAAGTATATGCCTGAGGGGCATACTAACATAAATTTCTTCTAACAATCCAGTGCAATGAAGTGTTAAGGGTATAAGGTAGTTTCTTGTGGAGAGTGAAAGTGGTCTAATTGTTGCCTATTTAGTCAATTCAAAAATAGCTACCATCCTATTAAACTTATCCCTCTAACAGTGCACCCTATTTTAGGTCAATTTTCATATGTGCATAACAAAATAAAAAAAAAGTTTTTTTTATTATATTATAAAACATTTCTTTCTGGTGTTGGGGAAAGAATATAAATCATTTAGTAATCATTTAACATTAATAAACTGCCAGATTGAGGAGTATGTACTGAGGTGGCTCTGTATGTTGAACGAACAAATCATAGTCGACTGGTGAAGATTTTATCTGAGTCAACTTAACCCTTAGACAGCAGATATCATCAGAGGTTGATTCATGGAGGGGGGGGGGGGGGGGGTAATGTGGTTATCATCATGATTTACACAATTATTGTCTGGGTTTTACATGTATGATGCAAATAAGCATACAATAGCTCTCTGTGGATGTCATGGAGTTTACCTTGACCCATTGAAAAATCGTACTATCATTTCTGGTTACATTATTATGTTAATGTAATTATCATCATGAATGTTACCAGGTGAATGTGGTTATCGTAATGAATGTTACCAGGTGAACGAGGTTATCGTCATGAATGTTACTAGGTGAACGAGAATATCGTCATGAATGTTACCAGATGAACGAGGTTATCGTCATGAATGTTACGAGGTGAACGAGGTTATCGTCATGAATGTTACTAGGTGAACGAGGTTATCATAATGAATGTTACCAGGTGAATACGGTTATCGTCATGTATAAAATTCCATCATAAGTACGTGATATATACCAATGATGTTCATATGGTGTTCACAACTCTGTATGGTTGTAATGAGGTATACCAGGTAAACCAATCATCAATGGTGAACCATTATCATGCGTTACATGTACTAGGAGCCTGCCTAGTACATCTGTGGGTGGCACATTGGTGACTTATACCTTGAAATTGAAATAAGTTTATTGAGGTAAAATACACACAAAGGGATGAGGGAACTCAAGCTCACACCTTTGTATCAATCTATACTCTCACCCATATGGTGCTAATTAGGCCATATGTCATCACCCAGAGCCCAACACCACTGAATATTATGTTTACTGTACTGTATATGCTTTTCCCTACTCTATATGGGTGTAATGAAGTACATTATACTAGGTAAACCAATATTGATGATTATCAATCATCAGCATTATCATGTGTTATGTGAATTATGCGATTTATCAAGTTATTCAACACAGGTATTCTTGTAAATAAAGAGAAATGAGTGATAAACAATCGGTGAAACATCCGAGGATAACGCAGGAGTCATGTCTCGCATATCTCGGTGTCAGCAAAGTTAGCATCATGTGTTGACAGATGCCAGACCACATAGCCACTTTGAAATCTTTTAGAGCACCTCCACCTAGTAAGAAGATAATTATTCACTTACTTTCATGTTTTTCTTTACATGTTACATACAGATAAATAATTCTATATTGAAAAATGACTTTTTGAAATTTGTTATTTTTTGAACAACGACAATTATTCTATAGTTGGTGTCCAAGGGGAGGAGGGTGGGAAGGTGGAGGGCAGGTGTAGTTATGTGCGAGGAAGTGGGGAGTGAGTGGAGAATGTATGAGACAGGATAAAGGATAAGGCAAGGGGAAAATTTTGTAAGGGTGTGAATGGTTTTGTGTATATGTACAGTACATGGGCCAGATTCACGAATCTGTTACGCAAGTGCTTACGAACATGTACAGCTTTCCTCGATCTTTGATGGCTTTGGTTACATTTATTAAACAGTTTACAAGCATGAAAACTTCCCAGTCAACTGTTATTGTTATAAACAGCCTTCCTGGTGCTTCAGAGCTCATTAACTGTTTATTAATTGTAAACAAAGCTGCCAAAGATTGAGAAAAGATGTACAGATTCATAAGTGCTTGCGTAACTGCTTCATGAATCTAGCCCCTGGACAGTGACAATTCATGAGGGACAATGGCCACTTGGTTGTATGAAGTGGTGGGATACTGCTGTGGATGATTATTAGAATGTGGTTGTAGTTATTTAGCAGTGATACTGTATATTATGAATGATATAATGAATGCATTAAATGATAATTTAAATTTATTAATGCCAGTATTTAATTTCTGTGACTTCTTTTACGATACAGTATTATTCATAGTCTTCTGATTTGATGCCTTCCTAAATCATGAAAGTGAAAAAAGAGGGTAGTAATAATTTATGTATCTATGTACATATATCAACAGACAAAAAACTTAAGGGAGAAGTAACACAAGATACATTAGGTGTGCATCCATTTTTTTCCACTATTGTATGTGAAGGATAAATAGATTTTCTGTATTAATTTGTCGTCTTGAAACGGTCTTAATTAAAGGTCTTGAGCCTTTGTTATAAAAAAATTAGCAGAATACATTGCAATATTTCATAAATAAAAGGGTGAATTGTAATTCTGTTATACTTAACAGCAAATGAGGTGGTAATTCACAAAACGTTCCACAACTACACTGTGCGTGCCAAGCAGGGTGGTAACCAAAGTTCAAAGGACAACCAGAGTGCCACAGCTCATCCCAAATCAAGTGGGTCATCTCTTAGGCGCTATAATGAGCAGTCACAGCGTCAGGCAAGTTGTGTTATTTTAAACAATAAGATATACTGTATGTTAATATTGGTATTTGTGCTTAGACAAGATTGTCTAAATCAGGAGTGTTGAACTAATTGCTATGGCAGTTCAGATTTCAAATAATTTACATGTGGGCCATGATATGGAAGACTGCCTCTCTAAGGACAAGAGTGAAGCACTTGTTAAAGAAAATTACAGTAATATGTACCTTGTACCTGGATGGGGTTCTGGGAGTTCTTCTACTCCCAGTAATTTTTCAGTGTCTTCAGCAGAGATGATTTTCATGCTGATTTTTGTGTCATCTGCAGAGGATGATTAGAAGCTGTGACTTATATTTTTGTCTATATCCGATATGAGAATACAGAAAAGCAGTGGTGCAAGGAATGTACCTTGAGGTACAGAGCTTTTAACTGCGCTTGAACTCTATTTTATTTGGTTGACTGTTACTCTTTGTGTTTAGTTCGACAGAAAATTGAATATCCAGCGTCTTACTTCACTTGTTATTCCCATTGACCTCATTTTGTGTGCCATCACTCCATGGTCACATTTATCGAATGCCTTCGCAAAGTCCGTGTATACCAAATCTGCATTTTGTTTTTCTTCTAATAACTGTGATTTTGTCGTAGTGGTCAAGTAGTGGTGAGAGGCACGATCTTCCCACTCTAAATCCATGTTGGCCTGGGTTGTGGAGGTCATTAGTCTCCTTGAAACTGGTGACCTGACTCCTGATCACGATCTTAAATATTTTTATTGTGTGGGTTGTTAATGCAACTGGTCTCTAATTCTTGGCCAATGCTTTGTGTCCTCCCTTGTGTAGAGGGGCTATGTCTGCTGCTTTAAGCATATCTGGTATCTCCCCCGTGTCCAAGCTCTTCCTCCACAATATACTGAGTGCCTGTGCTACTGGCACTTCATATTTCTTTATTAATATTGAATTCCATGAGTCTGGACCCGGAGCTGAGTGCATGGGCAAGTTGTCAATTTCTCTTTCAATATCTGTCACACTTGTAAATATAACTTATATAAACAAGGGTTTGGATATCACACGTAAAGAAGTTGTCTGGATCTTCCGCTTTCATGCTGTTTATTGGAGTGCTAATCATGTCCTCATACTTCTTTTTTTTTTTTAGGATTTCACTAATTTCTTTGTCGTCCTCTGTGTATGAACCTTCACTTGTACAAATAGGTCCAATACTGACAGTGGTTTTTGCTTTTGATTTGCATATGTGAAGAAACATTTTGGGTTTTTCTTTTTATCTTATATTGCTTTCTGTTCTAGTTGCATTTCTTTAATCTGATATGAAGGCTTCAGTCTCTACTTGATTTCTTCAATCTCCCTGTTCAAAGTATTCCTTCTTTGTAGGGAGAGTTGTCTACTTAAGCATTTATTTCTTTTCTTCTTTTGTAGTGTCATCTGCATTATCTTTCTACGTTGGATCTCTTTCTGGTTTTCCGCAAAGAAACATGTTTCAGAAAAACTTTGTATGCTTTATATGTTAGAAAATTTTTCTGAGAGTCAGATGAGGGCAGTATATAGAGGCAATGTCAGTATCTGACTGGAGGAGTGTACCACAGTGTTCAGTTTTTGCACCAGTGATGTTCATCATCTACATTTATGATCTATCTACCAGAGGGAATACTGTACAGAAATACAGTACAGTATTTGAATTAGATGTAAATCAAGTCTTTCTGTGGGCTACAGAAAATAAGTGTTTAACGAAGATAAGTTCCTGCTCATGCTCTACGGAAAAAATTCAAATTTAAAAATGGAAACTAAACACAAAATGCAGTCAAATCATAACATAGAACAAAAAGGCAATGTAAAGAATTTGGGTGTACTCAAGTCAGGGAGGGAGCCGGTTGGCCGAGCGGACAGCACGCTGGACTTGTGATCCTGTGGTCCCGGGTTCGATCCCGGGCGCCGGCGAGAAACAATGGGCAAAGTTTCTTTCACCCTATGCCCCTGTTACCTAGCAGTAAAATAGGTACCTGGGTGTTAGTCAGCTGTCACGGGCTGCTTCCTGGGAGTGGAGGCCTGGTTGAGGACCGGGCCGCGGGGACACTAAAATGCCCCGAAATCATCTCGAGATATCCTCAAGATGTCAGAAGACCTTACCCTTAAAAAACACAATAAAGTATACGTCACAACTGCAAGAAAAATGACAGGTTGGATAACAAGAACCTTTCACACTAGAGATGCTATACCAATGATGATACTTTTCAAGATGCTAGTGCTCTCTAGAGTGGAATACTGTTGCACAATGACAGCCCCTTTCAGAGCTGGAGAAATTGCTGACCTGGAGAGTGTGCAGAGATCCTCTAGTGCTTGAATCCACTCGGTAAAACATCTAAACTATTGGGATCCAACTAAAGAGCCTAAATCTGTATTCTCTTGAGCACAGGTGGGAGAGATACATAATAATTTACATGTGGAAAATATTAGAGGGGCTGATTCCAAACCTGCACACTGAAATAACATCACATGAGACCAGAAGGCATGGCAGGATGTGCAGAATACCCCCGTTGAAGAGCAGAGGTGCAACAGGTACAGTACTCTGAGAGAGAGCTCTATCAACATCAGAGGCCCAAGACTGTTTAATGAGCTTCCACTACACATAAGGGGTATAACTGGCTGACCCCTGTGTTCAAGAGAACTTGATAAGCACCTCCAAAGGATACCTGATGAACCAGGCTGTGACTCATACATCAGGCTGCAAGCAGCTGTGTGTAACAGCCTGGTTAACGAGTCCAGCAATGAGAAGGCCTGGTCGAAGACCGGCCCACGGGGACACTAAGCCCCAAAACTATCTCAAAGTAACCTCAAGGTTACCTGTTCATATCTTAAGAAGCTCGCCAAGAAAAAGGAAAAGGTGCAAAGGCATGCTACAAAATGGCTTTCGTAATTGAAAAACCAGAGTTACGAGGAGAGGCCAGTGGCATTAATTGTGCCAAAACTAGAAGGTAGAAGAAAAATAGGCGATATGATCACCCCTTACAAAATAGCAGGAATCGACCAAATTGACAAAGAGAAACTCTTGAAACCAGCAACTTCATGAACAAGAGGACGCCAATTCAAGTTAAGGAAACAAAGGTGCCGAAAAAATATTAGACAGTTTACACAGTGATAGACAGTTGGAACAAGTTAAGTGAGAAGGTGATAGAGGCCAAAACTGTCAATAGTTTCAAAGCATTATATGTTGATTTGTGGAACCAGTTGCTACGTGGCGTGATGGAGGTGGGGTCCCTTGATTGTTTCAGGCGTGTGTTGGACATGTATAAGAGTGGGATTTGGTGGTTATAAATAGGAGGTGCCTTGTATGGGCCAATAGGCCCTCTGCAGTTACTTTTATTCTTATGTTCTTATGATAAAGATTACTGGAAGACAGTACTCTATGATCATAGCTCTCATCCTGTAACTACACTAATTACACATGATTTGAGTTTGGTGGGCTGGGCCCTGGGCTGGAGATAGGAGGGTGGGGATGTGTTTACTTGTGAGGCCAATTACAAAATGGTGACCACCAATACAGTGACGTGTATTTTCATTTATTTATTCATGTAATTATACCACTTTATACTTCAAAAAACAGCAAAATTTGACAAGCAGGATAACTCCATCATTCATTGTAAATAATAATATGCTTTTTTTATATTATATATCCCCTAAACATTGGTTTTGTGATGATTTTTGATGGCCTGGGCACGCATGAGAACATATCTCCGACTTATAACATTGCACCTATGAAAAATCTTGATCTGCATCTAGGATCTGGCCTAGACCTGAAACTAGGACTAGCACAAATCAAATTTCAAATGTTTTACAAACAGTCTCAGAACAACTGAGACTGTTTCTTTGAGTACAGGCCATTTCCATTTTACGAACAACTTGTTCGTAAAATGAAAATGACCTGTACTCAAAACTAACTACAAATAAATACATGTAAATACCAAACAAGCGTGTCTTGATAATACTGCCAGAAGATTGTTATCATGGCAATACTTTCAGAATGGAGTTTCCAGGAGGTAACAAGATGTCATTTCAGTTATTAATTAATAGTAATCCGTGAAGGAGAAGTTGATAGCTACATGTGCAGAATTGTTATAGATTATTAGCTGCAGTGTTTACCCACATAAATCTCACAGGTTTCATCTCATTGCAGCACATTCAAGAGCTCATGGAATCCTGGAAACCACACCTCAATAAATGTGACCTGATATTCAATCATGCCAAACACCATAACAGAAATACTTTGTTTGGAGGTAAAAATCCAATCCTTGATAGCAAAGATGAACGATTAAGAAATATTCCCTTCGCTACCAAGAGGGCGACATTTTCAGAAGTCAAGCGAGTTTTTGGCCTCTTGTCTGAAATTTTAGTGCATGGTGAGTTCTCCATTTTGTACATTTTGCTAAACATTTTCTTTTTCTTTTACTAATTTAGAAATATATATATATATATATATATATAATATAGAAATAATTAATATATATATATAAATAAAAAGTTTAGTTTATAATCCAGTAATATATTGTATGTTCTTATATATTACCAAATTTGATAAATTGCTTTGTACTGCTTTTGTATACAGTACAGTACCTGGTATACTGTAAATGCCTAATTGTAATTATATAATTGAAGTTACAGGATGAAAGCTATACTTGTGGGTTTGAGTGAGCCTTCTACATAACTGTGATAAGATGTGGTCCTAAAACTAGAGATAGTTTTGAAATGTACCTCTTTCTCCTGAAGGTTGTTTCATCCCCCCTAACTTTACTGTGAAGCTCCTTGTGGCTTCCTGAGGCCATCTTGCTAAGATGGCTCCCATCAACTGTATTAGACTATATCAGTCATGGAGTTCTGTTTGGCCTATCAGGAACCGGAACCTGGTTCCCGGTCCGAGGCACAAAGAGCAGGTGACACTGCCAGCCCACCAGGAAATCATCAAGAAAATCAGTGAATCAATACACAACACTGCTGGGTTCAAAAGAACCGAAGCAACAATGTAACTGCCAAACAATGTAAACAAATGATTGAATCTTTTGAAACCAGAGCAAGCTCATTAGTACTTGCCCTTCCCCCCTTTCCAGTAGAGGAGAGTGCCAGAGCTTCATGTCTCCTGAGCCATTCAAGTCAGATCTGTCATTGATGTGAGACTTATCTGTTGGACACTTTAGAGTTTCCAGGTCAACCAGTAGATCCTTCTACTTCTCCGCTAAGTGCTGGCCATCCTTGGACGTTGTTCTTTGGGGCCATATACTTGGTATTGTTCAATATTTTAGCTAGATTCATAGGCATGTTTTCTGTTCACTTGGTGTCGTGTACTCGCCTAGTTGTCCTTGCAGAGGTTGAGCTTTTGGCCCTTTGATCCTGCCTCTCAACCGTCAACCTGGACCTGTATATGTGGACCTGGCTCATAGTATACTTAGAGCTGCATGTACTCAGGGCTACCTTCCATGTGTACTTCCTAGCACTGCCTCTGCACAGAGTTCATTTCTCTGATGTGTTCAGGAGTTCACTTTCAACCTTCGACCACCAGGGTCTGACTCCGACCACCAGGGAGTCAGCCACAAAGGGAAGCTCCTTGTGGCTTCCTGAAGGTACAATACTGATAGTGCCAAACGACTTGGTGCCATGAGTTGCAGATTTCTTTTCGGGCTATTGGGGACCATGAGTCCGACCATGAGACATCTGGTTATAAGGAAAGATCGATGCCTCAAAATCACCAAACAAACTTCGCCAACAATGTTAACAAATAATCGAAAAGTCATGAAACTAGGACTAGCACAAGCTTATTTGACCTCCCAGCAGACCAGGTCAGCTGGCTGCTCCACCCTCAGTTCTTGGTGATGGTAGCTAGTGCCCTAGCTGGCTGCTCTGTTACTCTGGCTTCAGTTTCCAATTTCAGATAAGTGGTGATTTTTGGCTTTGTGGCTTTTCCAATATGTTTATGCTGTGTGAGCTAGGAGTATAGGGTGCTTGGAGCTGCATATGCAGGTTTTCTTCCTTGTGTGCTCCTTAGCACTAACCTTGTGCTGCCAGGGTTCTCATCCCTGGAGTGTGTTTTGTTTGCTCCCTTAGAGGGCTTCCTTAGAGGGCTCCCTTAGAGGGCTCCCTTAGAGGGCTCCCTTAGAGGGCTCCCTTAGAGGGCTCCCTTAGAGGGCTCCCTTAGAGGGCTCCCTTAGAGGACTTCCTTGCTTGTGGTGGTTCTTGCCCTGGGTAATTCCATTTGATTTTGGCCATCTTCCTTCCCTGGGGTTAGGAGCAAAGTTTGCCTGGCAGATTTCCTTGTAACTTTGGTGGTCTGTTTTGTTTTGATGACTATGTGGGTGCTTTCCCGGTGGTGGCACACATGATATAATTCACTGACAATTTTATCATGGTGCCATTGCTTTCTGCACCATTCTTTGAAGGGACCAGGTTCTTGTTCATGGTTTCTGGTAGGCTGAAATGAACTCTGCAACTAATAGCACTTAGTAGTTTGGCACTATATCAGCATTGTAGCTTGAGGGAGCCACTGGGGATCAACCAGAAATTGGAGTTTCATTACATTCAACATTGGATTTTTGTCACTCTTCTCACAGTTCGCTTGTGTATGCTGTACAGTCTATCAGATTCATCCTTCCAGAGGTTTCCTTCCTCTTGGGTTCCCTCCTTCCTTTGGTGGCTCTAGCGGATTATTTTAAGTGCCTCCTATGTGAACCGGATTTTGTCGGATAGACCCGGAGTCTTCCTGGCTAGCAGACAATAATTTTTTTTTACCTCCATTTGTGGCCCTTTTTTTTTCCATAGTTTCTGCCCTTCCCACGTGCTTGAGTGGCTTTAGTTTTCTAACAATTTGCAGGAGTTTTTGAACAGTTCCTCTTTTGAGCCTCTGAATAACTCTGTATGCTCCTGTGCTTTTCCCATGGCATAGGTTTGATACAACTTCATGCCCAGTTGCCTTTGTGGGCCTGGCTGTACTCGGCTACAGTTGTTTTTTATTTCCCTCTTGAAGCTTTTTTTGACTGGCTCCATGAGTGACATTGATTCACTTCGCTTGGTGCAGGGGCCTTGTTGCTGGCTGTGGTAGCTTCAGGGGGTTTGTCCAAGCTGTTTACACCTGGGTTCTGGGAGGTGGTTGCTACATTCTACTCTGCCCATTTTACATGTCGGCAGGCTGTGTTGGCCCAGACCTTAGTTTGGGCTTTGTCCTTGGGCCTTATGTCCACCTTCCCCTTTTCATCTCTCCTCTTTCCTGAGAAGATTGTCACACAGCCCTTGTTTTCTTCAACCCTGGAAGCCCAGTGAACACCAGTCACACAGCCCCAACTCCGGGCCAAAGCATGTTCATTCATTGAGTGGCAGAGGAGGAAGGTATTAGGCTTGGAGCTACCAAGTTTGGTAGCTCTGGAGCCATTGAGGGGACCCACCAGGTGTTTCATTGCATTCAGTTTCAGATTTTTGCTTTTGATTTTCTGGGGTGTGTTAATCTTTGATATTATATCCCTCCCTCCCCACTGAGTGGAACACATTCTGATCATGGATTTCTGGTGGTTAGCACATGTCTTGGGGTTTGGCATGTCTTTGGAGGCACAATGGTACAAGGGATTTGATCACTATGAGCTAATAAGGAACTTTCCAGAAATGGAAATTTTATTGCAATCAGTGCTTCATTTTTCTCTTTGTAACAGACTTTATTTCAACAGGGACCGAGGAAGAATTCAGAACGATGGTGAAAAACTCATTGGTTGGAGAAGTGAAGCCAAATGTGAAAAAGAAAAAAGAAACAACTGTAAAAAAAGCTGAAAAGAAGCCAAAATCTGCAAGGAACAGATCACCAAATGATTTGCCGTCTTCGCATAGTGAGAGAGAATCAGAAGGTGATGATGACATAGAACTGGTGACCAGCTTATGTACATTAAGCACCAGTGAGCTTGGAGGACGGGATTGTTCACTTAAAAGTCCTAGAAAGAAAAAGATAACTGGCAACAAAGCGGCAGAGAATAAGATAATGAATGATAAGAGCAAAAGAAGCACCACTTCCAATAAAAGAATTAATGAAGGTGTGTAGTAAGCCTTATATTGTAGAATTAGGTGGAATGACTTTTTATTAATATTAAATTGTTTTTTTTTTTTTTTTTTTTTTGAGATATATACAAGAGTTGTTACATTCTTGTACAGCCACTAGTACGCGTAGCGTTTCGGGCAAGTCCCTGGAATACGATCCCCGCCGCGAAGAATCGTTTTTTCATCCAAGTACACATTTTACTGTTGCGTTAAACAGAGGCTACAGTTAAGGAATTGCGCCCAGTAAATCCTCCCCGGCCAGGATACGAACCCATGACATAGCGCTCGCGGAACGCCAGGCGAGTGTCTTACCACTACACCACGGAGACTGTTTGTTTTTATCTCTTGCAAAGTATAAGTAAGTCTTTGGTTGTGCACTATATAATGAATAGAATCTTATTGAGGTTAGGGTTTAACTCCTAAAGTGTGGCTATGGATATGAACACATCTGCTTGTGCAATAAAAAACAAAAACTTATGGAATGATTACTTTAGATGCAAAAGAAGAGGGAAAGGGGAAATAAAGTAAATACTTACATATTTACTGGTATGGTCAGTTGGCTGGGAGATGGGCCGAGGTAGATCTGTCTGTCGGTGCTAGACGCGAGAGTTACTGACCAGTAAGTGGCAGATTACTGCAATGTTGAGCTTCAATGTTTCTATGATGGTTTCTTAACTTTTTAATTCATGTAATTTACAAAGGCATAGACTGTGCATATTACAATACTGTACAGTACAACCTCGATTCAACAAACTGTATGGGGCCAAACTCGGTTCATTGCAGTGAGGGATTTGTTGCAACCGGAGATGCCTCCGGGATGTATTTCCCACACCTTATGAGCTAATTTCACTTAGCAAAATTTTAATTTCAACTTAGTCTAATAGACAACTACTAAATTAACACTCGATTGCACTGCGCGTGCGAGACCCACACTACCCCGGGTGGGCCTCAGCGTTTCCCAGGAGCGCGCGGTAATTCTGAAAAGTGTATACTCTTTTCAACTTTGTCACCTCAATTCTCGTCCAAGGTTTTTCAATTTGGTATCATTATGTTTGCAATAGAATTCTCTATGGGTCTAAAGGCATATAAAGTCCAAAAGCCCGGCGTACCATCCACAACAAACAGAGAAAGTGAGTGCGTGTTACCCGGGAGCACGCAAGAGCAATAAAATGTGTACTGTACACTTATTTCACTTTTGTCACCTCAATTCCCGTCCTAGGGCTTCTATTTTGGTATCGGTGTTCACAATAGAATTCCCAACAAGGGTATATGCATTTAAAGTAAAAAACTGCAGCGTGCTCCACCCGCTGACAAGATGAAAGTGGCCCAGAAAGAGAGCACTGCGCCACCCCAAGGCACCTCTCATTACATTAGAGAGTACGGTAATACTGAAAAGTGTATTCTCTTTTCCACTTTGTCATCTCATTTCTTGTCCTAGGTTTTTCAATTTGATATCAATGTGTTTGCAATAGAATTCTCTAAAAGATTAAATGCATATAAAGCCCAAAAGCCCAGTGAGAAGGTAAGAGCGTATTAACCAGAACCTCGCGAGAGCAATAAAATGTGTACTCTCTCTTCACTTTGGACATCTCAATTCTCGTCCTAGGTCTTTCATTTTGTTAACATTGTGTTCGCAATAGAATTCCCTACAGGAGTATATGCAAATATATAGTACAAAAGCCAGGTGTACCACCCACAGCAAACAGAGAAAGTGATGGAGCGTAATCCCAGTGAGCGCTAATAAAATGGGTATACTGTTTTTAACTTTGTTACCTCAATTCTGGTCCTAGGTCTTTCATTTTGGTATCAATGTATTTGCAATGAAATTCCCTACAGGAGGATATGCATATAATATCCAAAACCACGGCGTGCCCCTCCCGAAACCGCTGCCAATTTGCCGCCGCTGCCGACGCAATGCTCTGTCGTTATTGGAAATGCATCTACAAAAAAACGACACAATGCTGAGTTGTTACCGAGCAAAAGTGTTAATTAACATGTCTGCAAAAAATGTAACCACATGTAGCTGATTTCTCACGTCCCCAGCTTTAAAACTCATTTTTAAAAGGTGGCAGGGCCATATTTGAGGGAATGAAAACAATGCAACTCAAAATGAAAACAAACCATAGAATTTGGTTTTGAACATTCTCAATAGCTTTCCCAAGGCTCCAACTGTTTCTTGTAATGTTGATTCCATCTACAAAACCATCAGAAATGTGATTAGAGCCATATTAAGGGAGTTACCATTCAACCCTGTTGTTTCCCACGTTGATTTCACCAAGCTAAATTTTAATTTCAATCTGTTGTATGAAGGACAACTGCTAAGAGAACTTGTCTGTAAAGAGATTTAACTACATCTAGCATATTTTTCACACCCTAGCATTGGAACCTCATTTTGAAAGGAAAAAGGACCCATATTTGTCGAAGTAAACTGGTGAATCTCAAAATTAAAATGAACCAAAGAATTTGGTTTTATTACTTAATGGCTTTCCCAAGGCCTCTTACTAGCTCTTGTAATGTTGTGCCCATCTGTGAAAATAATTAAAAATGTGACTGAAGGCATATTAATTAATTTAACACTTTTGCTCGGTAACAACTCAGCATTGCGTTGGCGGCGGCAGCGGAAAATTGTCAGCAGCTTCGGGAGGGAAGCACCATGGTTTTGGATATTATATGCTTATACCCCTGTAGGGAATTTCATTCTGAATACATTAATACCAAAATGAAAGACCTAGGATGAGAATTGAGATGTCCAAAGTGAAGAGTGTACACATTTTATTGCTCTTGCGTGGTTCTGGGTAATACGCTCTTACTTTCTCACTTTCTTGCTGGGCTTTTGGGCTTTATATGCATTTAGTCTTGTAGAGAATTCTATTGTGAACACATTGATACCAAATGAAAAATCTAGGATGAGAAAAGAGAATACACTTTTTTCAGTATTACCGTACTCTCTAATGTAATGAGAGGTGACTTGGGGTGGCGCAGTGCTCTCTTTCTGGGCCACTTTCATCTTGTTGGTGGGTGGAGTGAGCTGCAGTTTTTTACTTTATATGCATATACCCTTGTTGGGAATTCTATTGTGAACACAATGATACCAAAATGGAGGCCCTAGGACGGGAATTGAGGTGACAAAAGTGAAATGAGTGTACACATTTTATCGCTCTTGCGTGCTCCCGGGTAACACGCACTCACTTTCTCTGTTTGTTGTGGATGGTACACCGAGCTTTTGGACTTTATATGCCTTTAGACCCATAGAGAATTCTATTGCGAACACAATGATATCAAATTGAAAAACCTTGGACGAGAATTGAGGTGACACAGTTTAAAAAGAATATACACTTTTCAGAATTACCGCTCGCTCCCGTGAAACACTGAGGCCCACCCAGGGTAGTGTGGGTCTTGCGCGCACAGTGCAATGAAGTATTAAAAGTTGCCTTTTGCCCCCCGAAAAAAAAATCAAAATGCCCAACAAAAAAATTATAAAATGTCTATAAAAAATCCTAAATGCCTAGCAAACAAATCCTAAACACTTGACAAAAAATTCAAAATGCCCAAGAAAACTCATATCTTGGGAGTGTGGCATATCTTTGCAAATGTTTCCAGTGGAGGGCCAGGTGACAGACAATATATTGCCCATAATGTGTTCAAAAACTATCATCCCAAATTAATCATCTTTTACTGGAGGTACCATTTGTTGTTTGTTTGCTTCAAACGTCTCATTGTCTTAACATTTTTTCAGGTTGCCATCACAAGTCTCGAGTGTGGGATGTGATCTACACTGCTTGTAAGACTGGCAGTGTGGAGCACCTTAAAACAGCACTCAAAATTCCTCCCTTAGATGAGCCTCAAGGTAATGTATGAGCTTGTTAATTAAGACCCCGTTAACCTGGACCTTTTGGTAATCCTGCCAAAATTGAATCTGGGTTTTTCTACCCAACTTCCAAATAAATCAAGCACTTGGGATGGATGGTAGAGCAATGATCTCGCTTCATGTAGGTCGTGTTCAGTCCCCGACCGTCCAAGGGGTTTGGCTCCATTTCTTTTTCCCCGTCCAATCCCAAATCCTTATCCTGATCCCTTTCAAGTGCTATCTTGAGTTATCTTGAGATGATTTCGGGAGTTAGCGTCCCCGCGGCCCGGTCCTCGACCAGGCCTCCTTTTTGTTTCACACCCCCAGGAAGCAGCCTGTAGCAGCTGTCTAACTCCCAGGTACCTATTTACTGCTAGGTAACAGGGGCATCAGGGTGAAAGAAAATTTGGCCCATTTATCTCTACCTCTACTGGGGATCGAACCCGGAACCTCAGCACTACGAATCCAAAGCGCTGTCCACTCAGCTGTCAGGCGCCCATATATATATATATATATATATATATATTGTGCTATATAGTCCTAATGGCTTGCTTTCCCCTGAATGTTCCTTTCCTTTCACTAAATTTTGACAGAAATCCAAGTTTCTGGGAGTTTGGCTGGGTTATTGAATGCCATTGAGAGACCTGTGCTTACCAGAAAGCCAAGGGCCTTCAACGGGTGAAGCCTTAGCAGCTGGCATTCAAAACTGACAATGCCAAGCTCATGTATAGTTATTTTAGTGTTAATAAATGATTATGAATATAAATCAAATAAATATTACCTAATACTGTATTATAACAAATAATAATTACTGTACAGTATTACTAAAAATTGCTTGTGCAGGCTGTACAGTGTATTTTTCCCTGCTAAAATAAAGAGATTCATTTCACCTATGTTTCGGTGGTAATTACCTAAGTGTAATTACCTAAGTGTAGTTACAGGATGAGAGCTACGCTCGTGGTGTCCCGTCTTCCCAGCACTCTTTGTCATATAACGTGGGACTCGAACCCACAATCCTTGGCTTAGGAGGCCAATGCCTTATCCATTGGGCATTGGTTAGGCTCCTTAATAATAATCCATAGTGGTGGTTAGGCTCCTGTGTTGTTGTTTCCCCTTGATAATGCTTGCCACACTGTTAGTGTTTCCCTTCACAGATTTCACTGCCTCTGTTATGTAGTAGGCAGTCACAGCCAGACAGGCAATTGGAACCAGTCACAGCCAGTAACACATCTTTATCAGATTATCCACTGCCATCAGGTCTAGCCAGCCTGCAATCTACCCTCACACCTGGGTAAAAACTTCATAGGTGGACGGTTGCTCAACATCCTCCCAGCGAGTATAAGAAATATTGCCAGAACAACCGTGGACATCTTCAAGAGAAAACTAGATAATTTTCTCCGAGGAGTGCTGGACTAATCGGGCTGTGGTGGATATGTGGGTGTGCGGGCCACTCCAAGCAACAGCCTAGTGGATCAAGCTCTTACAAATCAAGCCTGGCCTCGGGCTGGGTTTGAGGGGTAGAACAACTCCCAGAACCCTATCAAGCAGGTATTCAAGATGTTCAGAAATATGCCGCTCTTTCAGCTGTGTACGCTAATATGTCCTGGACTGATATTCGAGCATGAGAGTTTTGGAGGTTGAACAGGGTTCTTGCAACCAAGTATCTTGTTGGGCATAGCCATATCTTTTTTTCTTCGTTCTGATCCTGTGGTGCTTCTTCCTTCCTGGTAAGTCCCCATTTGTTTCTTTCTCCATGGGTAGTTAGCTTCAGGGAGCCACAATGGGCTCCCCACAGAAAACCAGTGTTGAATATAATAAAATGCCAATTTCTGGGTGAACCTCGGTGGTTCCCTGTCACCCCCCCCCCCATCCCGTCCCTCTAGGTCATTGGGGACTTGATACATTTACCATAGAACTGAGGGTGGTTTTGTCAGCTGACCACAAGTTATAATCCCCTCCCCCCAAATGGGTACTGTGGGGTAATTACCTAAGTGTGTAATGCTAGCTGCAAGGGTGCAAGCTAGCTGGTGCTAGTTTTGAGAATTTTTATCATTTCTTTACAATGTTGGGGGGAGTTCTCTTGGCAGTTCTTGAGGCTGTGGTCTGTACTAAAACCAGCAATGGTCTGTTTTGTTTCATGAACTTTTTGGGTTCTTTCCTTGGTGGTGGCATAAATAAAATAAATAAATAAATACTTCTCTTATTCCTCTGTGACAGATTCTGGCTTATGGTACGTGGCAGGCCAGTACAACACTGTGGCTGATGCACTCTAGTAGCTGGTACATTATCAGTGATTAGGTGCTTCAGAGAGCCACCAGGCCTCACTCAGAAATTAGCATTTCATTACATTCAATGCTGGTTTTAGATTAGCTCTTGCTTACTGTTTGTAGACTGGGGGCTTTATGCTCATATTTGGGTGAAGGAGTTGTGTTCTCTTGGCCTTGGTGGGAGGTTTCAAAATTTGCAGCTTTCTCTTTTCTGGCTAGGAATCAGTCAGTGGGCTTCTGGAGGGGGAGGGGGGTTACTTGGTTTGTTCAGGTGAACGTGCTTCATTTATGTTCAGTTGTGGCGGTCCATCATTATTTGCGAGCCACTTGGTTGACTTCTGGTGTTGCATTTTTGTCCTAGTGTTCTTGGCTCCTTGTTTGAAGGCTTGTTGGTCCAAGGTCATCCTCAGTGTTGTCAGATTTAGCCAACCTGTGGCCTACCTTCAGGCTCCATGATGTTTGTAACTTTGTGGCTTTGTCCTTGATCTTTCCTTATGTCTTGGGCTGATATTCAGCCTCAGGTGGTCTAGTAACCTCTGTTATTTGTACCTCTGTGAGGGGATCAGGGTTTTGTCTCTCGTCTCCAGTAAGCTGTTCTTCTCAATGGTTTAGTGGGATTTGATAGACATGGAGGTACCTTACCTTGAGGATACCTTGAGGTGCTTCCGGGGCTTAGCGTCCCCGCAGCCTGGTCGTTGACCAGGCCTCCTGGTTGCTGGACTGATCAACCAGGCAGTTGGATATAGCTGCTTGCAGCCTGACTGTACGAATCACAGCCTGGTTGATCGGGTATCCTTTGGAGGTGCTTATCCAGTTCTCTCTCTCTCGAACACTGTGAGGGGTCAGCCAGTTATGCCCCTTGTGTGTAATGGAAACGTGTTGAATAGTCTCGGGCCTCTGATGTTGATAGTTCTCTCTGAGTACCCGTTGCACCTCTGCTTTTCAACAGGGGTATTCTGCACATCCTGCCATGCTTTCTGGTCTCATGTGATGTTGTTTCTGTGTGCAGGTTTGGGACCAGCCCCTCTATTATTTTCCATGTGTGAATTATTATGTATCTCTCCCAGCTGTACTCAAGGGAATACTGTACAGATTTAGGCTCTTTAGTCTGTCCCAGTAGTTTAGATGTTTTACTGAGTGGATGCTAGCAGTAAAGGATCTCTGCACGCTTTCCAGGTCAGCAATTTCTCCAGCTTTGAAAGGGGCTGTCATTGTGCAACAGTATCCCACTCTAGAGAGCACTAGCGTTTTGAAAAGTATCATCATCGGTATAGCATCTCTAGTGTGAAATGTTCTTGTTATCCAACCTGTCATTTTTCTTGCAGTTGTGATGGCTACTTTATTGTGTTCTTTAAAGGTAAGGTCTTCAAAGTATTCAAAGGTGTCCAAAGCATATAGCAACAGGGAGCCACTTTGAGTTAACCAGAAAGAGGCATTTCATTATATATTCAAAGCTGGGTTTCTGGTGCAACCCTTAATGGCTTTCCCTTTTCCACATTATTCTCCTCTCGTTGGATTGAAGGGTTTGATTTGGGCGATTTGTGAGTGGGCTAGCTGGTTAGTACCCTGGATGACTCGGGCAGCCTGGCCTCGGGCCGGGCTTGGCGTAGAACAACTCCCAGAACCACATCAAGCAGGTAGATACCTGGTGGCAACTACTGTGTGCCTTATTATCTGTGGACACTTAATTTTTAACAAGTTCATTGTGTTATGCTTATGCATTCTAGTGGAGGTATATCTTGATTTTTGGTTGATCTCTGATCCTCAAGTTCCCTTCACTTTGTAGAGAAATGCCAGATTTTGATTATGGTTCCAGAAGGCAAGGAAGGACCTCAGAGAATAGGGCATTGCTAAGTCTGAGCTAGACCGGTACTTACCTCTGGCAACTATTGAGGGCCCCGATAGAAAAGTGTTTCATTACATTCAGCACTTGATGTTAGAGTTTGGTTCTGGTGACCAGCCAAGTTTTAGCTTGAATAGTTCACCTGATGTCAATCGACATTTACATTTTGTTCATATGTTTATTTCAAGCAGTGGTTTTGTTTTGCTTTGCCTGTACTTTTTAGCATGTTTTCCTAATTTTTTAGCTTTCTATACATATTTCTTACGCCATTCTCTCCTTGCCTCGCCGACCAAGCCAGATTCTGTTCCTGTTTCCTGATATGTGCAGGTCTAAGCTGCCTGATACAACCTAAAGGCATAGCGGTACTAGTCCTTAAGTTCTGGGGAGCTACTGAGGAGCCAATCAGAAAATATTTTTTATCATTACATTCAACACTAAGATTTCTTTGGACATATGTAAACTATATTGCCTTTTTGTGTGGACTATTTAAGGCAGCCTATGCAAGCTAGTGCAGCCAGCCATCAGATACATGCATGAATTATCTTGTTTTGTATCATAAAATATTTCCTCTTTTTAGGTGATATTCTCCCAGATGATATTATGGAATCAATTAAATGTACTGAAATTCCATCCAATCTTAGTTGTATTACATTGGGAAGAAAAGACAAGACATTGCTTCATGTGGCAGCTGAAAATGACCAAAAGGACATTGTGTGGTGAGTATTTTTTTCTTATACCAGTTCTGAAGCATCTGGCATCAGTGATCTATATGGTGGAACTCATTTTATTTTCACATGCTCATTAACATCTTAATATTAATGAATTTTGCCTTTTTATAAATTCATTAAAAGTAAGCTGCAGATAAAGAATAATATTCGGAGGTTGAAAATGGGGAACAGATACACGGAAAATGAAAAGGAAATGTGTGAAACATTAAATTCCAAAGTGTGTTTGTACGAAATGAGATCTTCAGAGAACCAGACATAATAAGAATTCCAGAGAACAACATAGAGCGTATAGAGGTGTCTAGGGATGAAGTGGAAAATATGCTAAAGGAGCTAAGTAAGAACAAAGCAGTTAGTCCAGATGGAGTTTCCCCATGGGTTCTGAGAGAATGTGCATCTGAGCTCAGCATTCCATTTCACCTGATCTTTCAGGCATCCCTGTGTACAGGAATCGTAGCAGACATGTGGTAAAAGGCTAACATAGTTCCAATCTACAAAAGTGGTAGCAGGGAAGACCCCCTCAATTATAGACCTGTATCAGTGACAAGTGTAATAGTGAAAATATTAGAAAAAATAATAAAAACTAAATGGGTAGAACACCTGGAGAGAAATGATATAATATCAGACAGACAGTATGGTTTTCAATCTGGAAGATCCTGTGTATCGAATTTACTCAGTTTCTATGATCGAGCCACAGAGATTTTTACAGGAAAGAGATGGTTGGGTTGACTGCATCTATCTGGACCTAAAAAAAAGGCTTTCAACAGAGTTCCACATAAGAGGTTGTTCTGGAAACTGGAAAATATTGGAGGGATAACAGGTAAGCTTCTTACATGGATGAAAGATTTTCTGACTGATAGAAAAATGAGGGCAGTAATCAGAGGCAATGTATCGGACTGGAGAAATGTCACAAGTGGAGTACCACAGGGTTCAGTTCTTGCACCAGTGATGTTTATTGTCTACATAAATGATCTACCAGTTGGTATACAGAATTATATGAAGTTGTTTGCTGATGATGCTAAGATAATAGGAAGGACAAGAAACTTTGATGATTGTCATGCTCTTCAAGAAGACCTGGATAAAATAAGTATATGGAGCACCACTTGGCAAATGGAATTTAATGTGAATAAATGCCATGTTATGGAATGTGGAATAGGAGAACATAGACCTCACACAACCTATAAATTATATGAGAAATCTTTAAAGATTCTGATAAAGAAAGAGATCTAGGGGTGGTTCTAGATAGAAAACTGTCATCTGAGGACCACATAAAGAACGTTGTGCGAGGAGCCTATGCCACACTTTCTAACTTCAGAATTGCTTTTAAATACATGAATGGCAAAATACTAAAGAAATTGTTCACGACTTTTGTTAGGCCAAAGCTAGAATATGCAGCTGTTGTGTGGTGCCCATATCTTAAGAAGCACATCAACAAACTGGAAATGGTGCAAAGACATGCTACTAAGAGGCTCCCAGAACTGAAGGGCAAGAGCTACGAGGAGAGGTTAGAGGCATTAAATATTCAAAAATTAGAAGACAGAAGAAAAAGAGGTGATATGATCACTACGTACAAAATAGTAACAGGAAATGATAAAATCAATGGGGAAGATTTCCTGAGACCTGGAACTTCAAGAACAAGAGGTCATAGATTTAAACTAGCTAAACACAGATGCCGAAGAAATATAAGAAAATTCACTTTCGCAAACAGAGTGGTAGACAGTTGGAACAAGTTAAGTGAGAAGGTGGTGGAGGCCAAAACCGTCAGTAGTTTCAAAACTTTATATGACAAAGAGTGTTGGGTAGACGGGACACCACGAGCGTAGCTCTCATCCTGTAACTACACTTAGGTAATTACACACATATATATATATACATAAACATACAGTATATAATGACCTTATCTGTACTCATGGCATGCACCAACTAACTGTGCAAATTGAAACTTTAATTAACACTTTGGCGTACCCCGCGCACCACCCCTCAACTGTGCGATTTGAGTCCCAGCGTTTCATGGGAGCGCGCGTTAATTCTGAAAAGTGTATACTCTCTTCAACTTTGTCACCTTAATTCTCGTCCTACGAGATTAAATTTGGTATCATTGTGTTAGCAATAGAATTCTCTACAGCACTAAATGCATATAAACTCCAAAAGCTCGGCTAATTACCCGCAGCAAACAGAAAGTGCTAACGAGTTACCCAGGAGCGTGGAAAAGCGATAAAATGTGTTCACTCTTTTCACTCTGGTCACCTCAATTTTCGTCCTAAGTCTTTCATTTTGGTATTAATGGGTTCACAATAGAATTCTCTAGAGGAATATTGGCATATAAAATAAAAAACCTGGTCACGCTCCACCCGCCGACGAGTTGAAGACGGGCCACGCGTTAACCGCGAGTGAGTGCCCAGACACCTTCCAGCTACACTCCCAATTCCTGCCCACAAATGTTTAGTATTTTAGTATATTTAGTATTATAGTTTAGTATTTTTTGTGTAGTAGTTGTACATCACATAAGCATTGTAGATAGCCATTTGCACAAAATAGGTCATTTTCTTCGGCCATTTGTGAGTTTTCCTTATGAAGTGATAATATTTGATCATTTGGTCAAAGTGATCAACACCTTTCATGTTTGTATTGTAATCACAGATTGCATTCGGCTTGTTGACAGTTACCAAACAGTCCCCCAAAAATCGGATAAAAACCTGATTTTTGGCAATTATTTTAGTGGACGACGCAGCATTGCGTCATCCCCGAGATTACCGACAGTAAACGGATGACGCAATGCTGCCCAGAATATTTGGCACACGTGGGTGGAGCAATGGTATTGGCATCTTGTGTTGGAGATTGCCTTGTGGAAATGACTGCAATATCCATGACTGTTATAGAGGAAATTGGCTCACCAGAGTAAGGGACATTCTCTGGTGTGGGAGACTGTTGTCTCATTTGTGGCGTCAGGGATGTAGAACTTCTATGACTGCTCCATAGATGGTAATATTTTGGTAACTACAGTTTGGAAGGTCGCCAGAGGACCTGATAAGTGGTTATCTTGAGGTTATCTTGAGATGATTTCGGGGCTTGGCGTCCCTGCGGCCTGGTCCTTGACCAGGCCTCCTTTTTGTTACACCTTTAGACAAGGAAGCCCCCCCCCCTCCCAGGAAGCAGCCCGCAGCAGCTGTCTAACTCCCAGGAAGCAGCCCGCAGCAGCTGTCTAACTCCCAGGTACCTATTTACTGCTAGGTAACAGGGGCATCAGGGTTGAAAGAAACATTTTGCCCATTTGTCTCCGCCTCCACCGGGGATCAAACCCGGAACCTCGTGACTACGAATCCGAAGTGCTGTCCACCCAGCTGTCGGGCGCCCTTGCCCTCGCCCAGCTGTCAGACGCCCAGGTGTGTTAAGGTGAATTAATAAAAAGGAATTCCTGAAACTGACAACCTCAAGAACAAGGTCATAAATTCAAGCTAAGGAAACAAAGGTGCCTTCAAAAATATTTGAAAGTTTTCTTTTGCAAACAGAAAACTTTTTCCGTTTGCCAATACCCTCAGTAGTTTCAAAGTGTTATATGACAAAGAGTACTGAGAAGATGGGGAGGGAGCCGGTGGCTGAGCCGACAGAACACCGGACGCGTGATCCTGTGGTCCCGGGTTTGATCCCGGGCGCCGGCGAGAAACAATGGGCAGAGTTTTTCACCCTGATGCCCCTGTTACCTAGCAGTAAATAGGTACCTGGGTGTTAGTCAGCTGTCACAGGCTGCTCCTGGGGGTGGAGGCCTGGTCAAGGACTGGGCCGCGAGGACACTAAAGCCCCGAAATCATCTCAAGATATGGGACACAGCTAGCATAGCTCTCATCCTGTAACTACACTTGGGTAATTACTTAGGTGATTACTAAAGTAATTACCTGTTTAATTCAGCTATTATTGTAATAATTTGTACATGTTATTATTGAGATAGTTTATTCTGAATTTGCCAACTGTAATGATTGTTAAAATGATTGATAAATGTTGCTTCTAAATCTAATCCTTTAATATACAGTTTATAATTACAGATACTACGTGTCATTATTATGACTCTTTCCTGGGTAAATAATTACTGTAAATCTGTGTAAGCTAACCCAACTATAAATATACAAACCTTTATGACTAAAGTATTTAATATCAATTTAAATTTCACATGTATGTATAAAAGTACACATATGGCAAAAAATAATACAGTAGTAAATGAAAGATATTTGTTAGGGTTAGGAAAATTTGAGTGACTTTTGTTTAGTATTGGTGCAGCTTAAGTGTAGCCCCTGCTTCCAGTAGTACTGTAATACTGTACTGTACTCTCATTACCAGTTAAGACCTGGGGCCAGATTCACGAAAGCACTTATGCAAGCACTTATGAACATGTACATCTTTTCTCAATCTTTGGCACCTTTGTTTCCAATTATTAAACAGTTAATGAGCTCCGAAGCACCAGGAGACTGTTTATAACAATAACAGTTGAATGGGAAGTTTTCATGCTTGTAAACTGTTCTGTAAATGTAACCAAAGCCGACAAAGATTGAGGTAAGATGTACACGTTCGTAAGTGCTTTCGTGAATCTGGCCCCTGGCAATCAGTCCACTACACGTGTGACATTTTTCAGGTGGTTGCTGGAGCATGGGTGTGACCCTAGTGTTGCAGATACAGACAAAATTGTTCCATTTGATTGTGCAAGTTACAAGGAGACTCGAAATGAATTTCGTCGTTTTATGGCCCAGTATCCTGATAAATATGATTATAAGAAGGTAACGTATATGTACTTTAATAGAATTTTTTTTTTTTACTGAGAATATCTGCCCCCCTTCCCTCAATAGCTCCACAGTGCTTACACACACAGGTAATTCCTAAGCAATTGGCAATCATACTAGGTCTTGAGATCCATATTAATCTACCAGGAGCTAGAAAAAAAAAATCTGACTCAGTACCTGGGAGCTGCCAGCTGCACCAGTAAGCATCCTCAGTCAAAAGATAAAGGTCAACTGACTCAGCTGGAAGGTACTGAAAAGGTCCAGGGATCCCCTGGATATCCCCTGCAAATCCTTTTGCAGGGGGATTTTTTTTTTTATCCTCCCTCCCTGTATGAGTAAGATTTGGGTGTGACTATCCTCTGGGTTCAGTTTCCCCATGCCTTTGTCTTTCAAAACCCTCTCTGTTTTGAGTTTATATTTTCCTCTCCTTTTTGGATGTGTTACAAGGGGCTGGCGTCTTCCTGGCTAGCAGATAATTCTTTGTTTTCACTTGGGGCTCGACACAGCTTTTGTAGTACCTACACGCTTAAGTGGCATGAGCTGTATACCGTGTTGGTGTTTCTGGGGGTGTTTTTTATGCACCCCTCAGTGACTGCCTGTTTGCTCCTCTCTCTCTTGGGATGTGAGTATGCAGTTCCCTGCCCAAATGTCTTTGCTGTGAGCGCACTTGTGGCAGATGACTTGTGCCTGTTCATATTTGAGTTCCGTCGTACGATTTCTTGGCCTCCTTGGGCGCCTTACTAACTGGCTTCAGGAGGAATTTGAGTCACTCGACACAGCCTTATGCGTGGGTTCTGGCCTCGGTTGTAGCTGCATTGTGTGTTTTGATTCAAGTTCAAGTTCTAGTACGTTTATTGAGACAATAAAATACATCTCAAAGGGATAGAGTAGCCTACGCTATTTCTACCCTTCTTTATCTACGGTTCAGCCCCTTTCACCACTGATGTGATCATTGGGTTCTGGCTCCATTGACCCTTCGCTGGCTGCTGCATTGCCGGTTTCATCTTCAGACTTTTTTGGGTTCAATTCCCTGGTGCCTTCTTTTGCCCTTGCTTGATGTCTTCACGCATTCCATGGCCCTAGGTTGGGGCTTTGTGACCAGCACTCATCAAACTGGCCTGAGTTGTTGGTCTCCTCCCTCTCATCAGGCTCACAGTATAGTGCAGTAATTTGCATTTGTGTGGCATTCAGGATACAGATTCATCCAGACTCTGTGCTATGACTACATTCAGACTGTTCTTTCATGGTTCATTGCCTCAACCGGTGGGTTTGCTTCAGTCCCTTGGGCCTTAGAGCCGAGCTCTTTGAGTAGCTCTTCTGCTGGTTTCTTGGGGTTTGGCTTTCTGCACGGTTTACGCTCAAGGAATGTCCAATGTTCTCGTGGACAGTCTGTCCCGGTTACTTCCTGTCTCCAGGAAGGCATCAGAAAGTACCTTCCAATGCAACCTCCTCTGGCTTTGTGAGATGTATGGGTGCCCAGTGGTCCACCACTGGGCACCTATCTGGTCCTATCTCAACTCCCTAGGCTTCCTCCCAGTCTGTGTGTCTGTAAGCCAGAATTTTGGTGATGACTCTGATGCTCAGCAATTTTACTGTTTGTAATGCTTCTGGGGGCATTTTCAGTGCTCTTTTTGGTAGGTTTTGTGCTGTATTCAGCTGTCATTTGGTGGGCTTTTTTTCCTCTGCTTTGTTGCCTTGGGGTGCTTGCCTTTTGGCTGGCCTGGATTGTGTGTACGTTTCCTGCCTTCCTCTGGCTCAGCTGCTGCTTCTGTCACTTCTGGGCTGAGGCCATTTACTGGCAGGTGGTTTTTCTTGTGGCTTAGTTATGGTTCCAGTTCTTCATGGTCCTGGTCTGTTGCCATGTATGGACTCTTTGATGACAGCTATTGGCTGGCAACTATGCACTGGCAACAGTGCATATTTCTTAGCATTTGCTTTGCTTTTTTCTTGTTTCTCATCATTGTGTTTTTTTATTTTTGTGGGGTCTTGTTTTTGTTCTATTGACTCTGATGGGCATATTTTTCTTCACTGTTGGCCTCCTCCTTTTCTAGCTGGAGGAGTTGTCATGTTTGTAGTCCAAGTGTTCCTGGTTTCTTGCTTCCTGAGGCATTTGTCTTAGGTTGTCTCTAGTGTCATAAAGATTAGCTAGCCTGCGGTCTACATTTAGACTCATGATCATCAGAAATTGTTTAGCTTTGTTGGCAATATTGGTTGACTTGTTGACAGTGAGGGTGCTGCCACTGGCTGAGGCAGCAGCTCCTGGTGATGGGCAGGTGAAACTAGCAGTGAAATGACCTAACTACTGGCGATCTCCTTTTCTGTGTATTTTCTTTTTGTCTCGCTCAACCTTTCTGGTGGCTATTTCCTTGCTTAGCGTGATCTTGTATCCTTGTATCCTCTGTTCTCTGTGCCTCTTTGAGGGGGCTAGATTTTGCCCTCTGGTCACTGTTAACTTTTTTATGACTTGCAAGGGCCTAGTGTGATTTGATTGGCATGGAGCTATCCAGAGAGGCTAGCAACAGGTAGCCACCGTGGACCTCACCAAAAAGACATTTCATTTCATTCAATGCTAATTTTACCACTTTCCTGTGTGGCACTTGGGCATCTGGCATAGTACTATTGATCCTTTACCCCAAGTTCTGTTAATTTGCCATCTTCTGCAGGCCAACTCTTCGCTGGGTTTTGCTACTCCTGTGTTCCCTATCAGCAAAGCTGTCCTTCTTAACTGAGCCACCATTGGGAGTAAGAACTGGGGAGCTACACTGGGGGCATCCCAGAAATTATTGATTAAATGTAGTGAAATGCCATTTTCTGGCAGGACCCTCTTGGTAGTTCCCTTTTCCACCCTTTCCACCATTTCTCTCTCTCCTTTCCTACCTTACCTTGTGGCTTTATTGTGGGGTTCTGAGGATCAATGTCCAAGCGGCCTATCTTGAGGTTATCTTGAGATGATTTCGGGGCTTTAGTGTCCCCGCGGCCCGGTCCTCGACCAGACCTCCACCCCCAGGAAGCAGCCCGTGACAGCTGACTAACACCCAGGTACCTATTTTACTGCTAGGTAACAGGGGCATAGGGTGAAAGAAACTCTGCCCATTGTTTCTTTCCGGCGCCCGGGATCGAACCCGGGACCACAGGATCACAAGTCCAGTGTGCTGTCCGCTCGGCCGACCGGCTTCCCTGCCAGGAAGCCTAGTCTCTTCCTGGTAAAAATGTTTGGAATTTAACACTGGTTCTTTGTAAGAGGGGTAGGTGGTGATGCAACCCTGTTCCCTGGGTTGATATTAATAACAGCCAGGTGCATTAGTGTCAGCATTTTTTCCTCACTCTTCATATCTTCGATTCAACCAGTAGGTTTTTTTTCTTCTGTCTAACCTTTGTGTTTTTTTTTCGTTTTGAGTTAATCTTTAATCCCTAATCTTTCCTCACGACATAGTGAAGCAGATTCTGGTCCTGGCTCCTGGTAGGTCTGCACAATTCTCAGAAACCCGGTTCAATTCTTAAGGCTTAGATATACATTGTGGTATTTAGTAAAAGGCTTACATGGTATACAGTTGATTAATACATTTTATTACATTGCACAGTAATTGATTTACAAAATCCCAATCTTGCCTCCCTGTAATATTTAGTACATTATACAACATATACTTTTATTTAAATCATTGTAGTATTTATTCATTTTCCTTATTAACCTTATCTTCCTTATTATTATTATTATAGGGTGCCAGTAGTACAGTCAGGTTCATTCCCATTTTGGCAGAAACATAATTTACTGACTGATCTCCTCACCATACTCTTGTCACATGTTAACTTGGGACCATGGAGTTCCTTGCTCCTCTTTAGTAGGAGGATATGACAATGTGCTTGCTCAGAGTTTTGCAGTTTGTGAGTGCATTTGTATTCAGTGCAGTTGGTTTATGGGAGCTTCCAAAGTATCTCTCATGACCCAATGTTCTAATTTTTGTTTTTGTTTTTTTACCTGTAGGCTAAAGTGCCAAGTGCTCTCACTCCTGAGCAGGAGGCACAACAGGCAGCCAAGTTGGCTCAGAGAAGAAAGGCACAGAGGCAGGCCAAGCTAGAAAGACAAAAAGAAAAGAAGAAGAAAGCAAAGGAGGAGATGCAAGAGGAAGAAGAAAAGAAGAGGTTTCTTGCATTAAGTGATAGGGACAAGGTACAGTACTATGCATATTATTATATTCTGTATTTTTGCACAATTGGCTTCCTTAATTTAAATTATTTTATACACATGTGAGTGATGCTTATAAGATCTTTTAATAATAATTCTGGTAAGGAAGCCATTGTGGCTCCCTGAAACTCACTCTCCGAGTTGGCTCCCAACTACCGTAGTACATTATCCATGCAGTTCAGTTCGGCCTACCGGGGACTCTAAATATTAAACCTGGGCCTCCTCGCAGAACTGCAGCGAGCAGGTGACACTTCACCACCTCACCAAGGGAGGCACCTAGAAAATCAATGAACCAATACAGACTGCTGCCGGGCTTAAAAGAGAACGAAGCCTCACAACCCGCTGAATGAACTTCCCAACAATGTAAACAAATGATTGAATCCCTCAAAACATGTGTACACTGGTTCACTTCACCCCTCCCAAACAATTGGGGAGTGAGGCAGGGCCAGGACTGACTAATGTTGACGTGGGAGCTGGCAGTTCCTGGGGTGCTGCCATCTGGCAGAGACCAGTTGTAAGTAGGAGAATTCAAATAAACTCCTGGGTGGATCATTTGCAGTCATTTGCTTCTTCATTTTTCCTTTCTTGTGAACCTTGCAGATATTGCTTCATTTTCTAGATGTTTCCTTTGGTTTCCTGCACTTGTGTGAGGTGGCTAGGTTCAGGATCTCATTTCTGGTAGGTTAGTTAGGAATCCTGGGGCTGAAGTAACTTGTGTTGGAGCTATCTCTGTGAAAATAGTTACAGGAAGAGGCGTTTCATTACATTCAACACTGGTATTTTTAATGTCTCTTCGGTACCAGAGCCAATGCACTGGGAAGCTGATGAAGCTGCCTAGGAAAGGGCTTCATTACATTTAATGTTTGATATTTTGTTTAAATAATTTTTTGGCTTTAATTCTGATATTTGGACATATTTTAGTCACAATATTCTTTGATGCTATTCACTACTAGTATAGGTGTAACGTCTATGTTATTTGTATGCTAAAAGAGAGGCATTCTAGTAAAATTTCTTTCTCCTTAGAGGGCATTAGCAGCGGAACGTCGAATTCTCGAGCAACAAGTAAAGGCAGGAGTACAGAATACCTGCTTGCTTCGTTGTTTCATGTGTGCCACAGACATAACGGGCTTGGTGCCCTTTGAATACAATGGGAATAAATTTTGCTCAACAAAGTGTGTGAGAGATCACAGGCTGAAGAAATCTTAGTGTTTGTTGATACTAGGATAAATATCTTTTTAAATTTACTTACCACAAAAATAAAATTTTAATGTAATTACAGTAGTTTTAGTTCCACATATTGCCAGCTGTGAAATTTGGTAGAGAGCCACGAGTCTACTATTATGGAGGCTGTCAAGCAGATAAATGTTTCAAATTTTATTAATGAGTCTAGTTACGGATCTGTAGGAATGGACCATAAATATTTAAAGAGGAAGGGATATGTAAAGTCTAGCTGTAGCCGCAAACATTTAGTTTATTTACACTGATTATTATTAAAATCAAAGAGGAATGATTTTGCATTTATAGTTTATGAAGTGCTAAGTCTCTTGGATAAACAGATACACGGGTCCAAATGAATGATGTAATTGTTCACAATAAACACGACCTCTTTTGCACTGAATGGTTTCCAACACATTGATTTTATTGACACTTAGAAATGGTGTCGATGTAACACTAGAGCAGATATGGGGAACACAAGAGTTCTAACCCCATGTAGCTGGGAATATATGGTTTGTACAGTGTTATATGTAAATGCACGCTTATGTAGCTAATCTTGGCACACAAATATTAATTATTACTCGTGACTTCCTATAGAAGGTGACCCTTTGGAAGGCTTCCCTAGTCATTTGCACTCAAGTTTTCAGGTCTACAGTCCTGTCTCAAAATTTAGTTATCTTTAACAGCAAATTTGAACTGAATGAACACATGTATTCATTTTGTGCAAGATCAATTAAACACTGGAGTACTAAGCTCAAAACTACATTAGTATTTACTTTTTCAGATGCAGTCATTCACACTAATAACATATAATAAGCAGCTTCTACACACATGTTCCATAGCACTCATCAGGTCCCGAGAAGTGGTGGAAGTGAAGACGCAGTTGTGGTTAAAGGTATATACTGTATTTTCAAAGTTGATGCCCATCAGAGTGAGCCTTTGCTCACACACTGTGTACAGTATACTGTTCTATACACAGAGCATAATGTTTCTGTTGACAATGTTTAGGCCTTGTGACGTGTTGACTCACATGGTAGCGGGCGGGAATGATTTGTTTTACAAAAAATACTGTACAGTTGAGTTTCCAGTTTTTTTATCATGTACAGTATATCAATACTATTTAAGATAAAAATTACATTTAATTTAAAGTTTCCAATAATATTTGCAACAATTTACACTGTATTAAAGTTGAAGATAATGAGATTTAAATATGTTTTACAGTTACATAATTTCCTGTAAAATAAGTGTTTATAAATTGTGTAATAGGTAAAGTTTGATCACTAACTGTAGAGGTCAACATTCGTGACTCAGCCTTGACCTCTCACAAGGAAAGAAGGTCATGGGGGGGGGGGAAGAGATATTCGTGATACAGTACTAACAAGAGAACTGATTCCCACTACCAGATAAGGTGAGTCAGTTGTTGCGATATAATTTACAAACTGTACATTAGGTATTATTAATGTACTAAGACTACAGGCTTATTATTAGGAACATTAATGTCTAAATATTTATACATCTAATACCACCATTACAAAATGAACTGACCACAATGTGTTGAACTATGATAGTTTTGCTGTAATAATAATATTTTTTGATTGTACATCAGTGGGACAATATATACATAAACACATAATTACAGATTACACACAGAAATCACAATAGCGTGATGCATCAAATGAACAAAATCAAATGCATCAAAAGAACATAATTACAGATATTTCTAACCATTTTAATGTGTGACATTTGACATTCCCCTCTCACTGTATTGTCATGCGTACCTTTAGTTACCTCCAAATAAAATGAGCAAGATGTACCTTCATAAGTTAATGGTAATGTCTTTTCACAGCCATAATAACATTGGATAAAAACCTACCCTTATGTACTGGCATTTGTATATTTTATGTACAAATTTACCAGTCTTTCATGCTCATCCAAGTGCTTTATCAAGGTCTCTTGAGGTTAACTTTAGATGATTTCGGGGCTTTTTAGTGTCCCCGCGGCCCGGTCCTCGACCAGACCTCCACCCCCAGGAAGCAGCCCGTGACAGCTGACTAACACCCAGGTACCTATTTTACTGCTAGGTAACAGGGACATAGGGTGAAAGAAACTGCCCATTGTTTCTCGCCGGCATCTGGGATCAAACCCAGGACCACAGGATCACAAGTGCAGTGTGCTGTCCGCTCGGCCGACCGGCTCCTCCCAGGTCTGAGTATATGGTTCGAGTAAGACTTAAATCTCGATGGATAATTATCTCATTGGCAGTGATGATCCATCGAGATGTAAGTCTCATCCTAAGCATATACTGAGACCTTGATAAAGCACTAAGAAGAGTGTGCAAGACTTAGTGTAAATTTTTACATAAAATGCACAAATATATAGGTGTGGGTTATCCATCTGTACCTCTATACTAGCATACATAAGGTAGTAATTGTCATACAACTTCCTACTGGTTAAGACGATGTCAATATTTGATTTAGGGTATTTGGACACTTTCCCATTCATAAGTTACTACCAAAGTTGTCAACAGACTCTTACATAGCGAGGGGGGAATACCTTACATGAAAAGAGGTTCGGATCATTATAATACTGTATGTTGATTTCAGTATAATTAAAAAGTTTCAAGATATAAATTGGAATTAATATCTGATTCAGAGAAAGGTTTAAATTCTGTACAAAGTTACAATCTGCCAAACTCCTTACTGTCTCTTAAGTCATTTTATATATGAATAAATTATAGGTGATTGTCAGTTTAATATGTATAGCTCTGTAGAGTCCAGATCCTTGACAGAAGATGGAGTCTGCTTGCAAACATTGCGTTACCAGACACTACACTACTTCTTAAATACAATGCCTTCAAGTTACTCATTAATACTATTTATATTAATTTAATTCGCTCGCCATAATGTGTATGCAGTGATCTGAGTGGGTGCTGGAGGCTGCATTCTCTAATAACAGAAGAAAGTGTAGGAATGTGTTCAGCCTGGATAAGTTGCTTGCTCTTGGTATTTAAGAGTGGTTGCCTTAACTTGATACCTTTTGCCTTGAACAATCAGTAGTCAGTGGCCATGTTGACCTGCTGGTGGTACTTGAGGTCACCGGGGTTAGTGGGACACGTCTGACCATTGTTGGGTGGACGGACAGCTTGGTATCTGGTAAAGAGTACAATGAAAAGTATAAAATCTAAGTTCAACAAGTGTCTAAATGTATCCCAGGAAATTTTTTGAGGGTGATTCCTCAATGTGAAATGTGACAAGCTTTATTTCATTAAGAAGGATAGTTGATAATGGTACATACCACACCTTCATTGATGGTGTGATATGTGCCATTTATGACACTAGTACCTGAACCAGTAAGTAGTCCTACCTCAGGAAGTTGCCTCTACAGGCAAGCCAAGGAAGTATGTCGACCTGCCAGTGTAGAGCAAAATTTACCTCTGGGCTGGCAAGTGTTGGGCTTCCTGCCCCGCTCCCTCGTGTCAGTAGCTGTCGCTCTCTGAAATTGCATATTTTGTTCAGATAAGCTTGTAACCTGTCTAGTTCTCATAGTTAACAGGATGCTTGATGGAAGACTGAGATTTTGGCTAAAAATCTAAATATAATATTTTACCTGCTAAGATACAATAACAAAAGTCCAGAAAATATCTTCCAATAATAACATTAACTGTGAATGTTAAGGTCAATTATTACATACTTTTTTAAACTCATAAGCAAACTATTAAATTTTATATACATCCATCTTGAGAAAACTTGGATGCACAAATGGCCACCTTGAAGTGGTTTCTAAATTGGTGAATGAGTACAAATTAAGTTGAAAGAATCAATCTTGGCAATCCTTCAGGAAGGCATTCCAAACATCTCCAGTGTCCAAATGAATGTTTTCTCATCACATTGGCCATGAAGGGAAGATCTGCTGTCTATAAACAGGCACAACATCTTGAGGTACAGCATCTAAAAAAATAAATCATGAGGTGTAGCATCGGAGTATCTTGTAGTACAGCTTCCCAAGACATCTTGAGATGCAGCATAACAATACATCTTGCAATGAAGCATCAGATAACGTCTTAAATTGCAGCACCACAAAAATTTTGAGGGTCAGCATGACAACATCATGTGAGGAAGCATCCCAAAATATCTTGAGGTGCAGCATCACTGAACATTTTGAGGTGCATAATCACTAAAATTGAGATGCATTGTTGCATTATATCTTGGGTTGCAACTTTACAGAACATCTTGAGATGAACAAACATTACAGAACATCTTGCAGTGAAGAACAAACTGTCTTCAGATGCAGCTTCAAAAACATCTTGAGGTGCAGCATCACAAAACATCTTGAAGGGGACCAGCATCAAAGAACATCTTGAGATGCAGAGTTACAGAAGAGCGTGAAGTGCAGCATCACAGCATATTTTCAAGTAAATGCATCTGCAAGACTACAGAGCAATTGTTTTGAAACTACAGATCAGCTACTAACATACTAATAGTCTATAAGAGGTAGAGACACCCACCTGTCGTAGCTCCCTGGTCTGGGTGACCAGGGAGGATGGGATAATGTGGGAGTGGAAACCTGTACAGTGTGCTGGAGGGGTAGACACACCCACCTGTCGTAGCAGCAGGTCTGTGCGGCCAGGGAGGCCGAGGTAACGTGGGAGCGGATACAGTGTTGGGCGCCTCGGTGATACACGTCGATCCTCTCCCGTTGGCTACTCACTCCCACCCACCTGTTGCGGCGGTCAGGTGCACGTCAGCTGGGACACACTAACTTGGTGACAGTTATTATTAATATGGAACCTATCAGTAGTGCCACTGTGTGAACACACACACAATGAAAACAGTAACACACTTGTCCTCCAGTGAACAATAATGCACTTGTCCTCCAGTGAAAAATAATGCACTTGTCCTCCAGTGAACAATAATGCAATTGTCCTCCAGTGAACAATAATGCACTTGTCCTCCAGTGAACAATGATGCACTTGTCCTCCAGTGAACAATGATGCACTTGTCCTCCAGTGAACAATAATGCACTTGTCCTCCAGTGAACAATAACGCACTTGTCCTCCAGTAGAAAATAATGTCCTCCAGTGGACAATAATGCACTTGTCCTCCAGTGAACAATAACGCACTTGTCCTCCAGTAGAAAATAATGTCCTCCAGTGGACAATAATGTCCTCCAGTGGACAATAATGCACTTGTCCAGCAGAAAACAGCAATCCTCTATTATGAATATATTTTTTCCTCATTATATAATTAAAAACTTAAGATTCTCTAACTGTTAGATCTGTGTAAATGTTTCCAAATACTAATATAAATAGATTCCCAAATAATCTGAAGAACTTTATAAAAAAACAAAAAAATCTCATTATTTGAGATGGTGACTTCAACACAATAGCACAAGGGTTGATAACTGCATGAACTCCTGTATGCTAATACCCATAATTACCAAACTCGCTCGACTCCCTCAATCCTCTGCTTCCACTCACAACTACATGTGGACTAACATCGTAGAGCACCACAACCGATAGCTCTTACTTTCCTCATTTGCAACTATAAATATAATCTATAAATATGTTGATGCTATCAACACAGGGCAACAAAACTCATCCCAGAGCTTAGTCATCTCTCATCAGGAATGGTTGAGGGTCACAGGGCTTACAACACTGCAAACCAGGCATGACAGGGCAGATCTCATCGTAACCTTTAAAATACAGTACTGAACAATTTGGAGGATGTCTATCCGGACAATTTCTTCAAAAGGTCAGATGTAACACGAACGAGGAGCAACGATTTCAAGCTCAACATGCCACAATATAGGACAGAAAACAGGAGATGCTTTTTCACCCATAGGGTTGTAAACCTGTGGAACCGCCTACCCGCTAAAGCTGTAGACGCCAAAAAATTGCTGGGCTTTAAACTACAGCTGGTAAGGATCATCAGGGCAAATGGAGGGACCTTTGACAAGCCACCAGCTTCTTGTCCTCATCAAAGCCACTAGTATTAATTAATGGCTCTCGAGTAAATTCGGATAAAATGATTCCACTAGACATATAGACCCCAACTGTCTGACTACACGGTAAAAACTATAAACAGTGTCATAGATGCAGAACATACAAAGAGCAACTGGTATCCTTCTTATCAAAATTCAATCATTAAAATACTTAACAATCTTTGGCTAACAAACAGATACTAAAATTAATTCACAAGAAACATAAATATGGAAAAAACATAGGCTCATCTAGTTACAAAAGAATTTGAAAAATTATGCTCTTCAACACCAATATAAATAGAAGAGCTAAATTTTCCTACTATGGAAACAGATTTAAAGAAGCAAAAAGAGGCATGAAACGGACTTAGAAAGCCATCTGAAATATCCTAGGATGTAAACAATAGTCTCTCAAAAACGGATCAAACCCTAAAAACAAGGCAACATTCTTTCCCTCGGATGTGGCAGCAGTAACTAAATTCAATGCAGTACTTTTATTCATCAACTGGCATTAACCTTGCAGGGAAATGTCCCAGAGACCTGGACAAATGTTGTTACATATCCCACCAACAGCCATCAAAACACTACACCTTCTGCCAGCCACTCCAGACACTATGTCCGTAACTTGCTCAAAATGAAAGTCTGTAACACTAGGGAAATATCAACTGTGACGTACAGAACACTAACTTAAGTACTGTACTTGCATCAGCCAGAGTTCTGCAAGAGTGTGACTGGCAGGCAGTGTGTTAGTGGAGTGTAGTACTAACACCAACACTGTTCTGTGACCCATTGTTACTTTATAGCTAGTGTTAAAAGATATAAAAAAATTCCTTGTTTTCCAGGAATTAATTTGTTGTCCTAGACAGCTAGCCTGTGTAGTGTGTATATATATACCTTTGGCTTGTATCAAGGTTCCCATTAGGTCGAACTACTGACCTTTCCCAGGATAAAACCCACAGTCCCGGGTAGTTTTTTAATGCTAGGTGAAAGGAAATGTATCCAGTCATTTCTGCACTTTCTGGGAATCGAACCATGGATCCTTGATTGTGAGTTGAGCGAAGCAAAATGTACACGTGGTTGTCTGTAATTAATTATTATAGTGATGATAGCAGGCAGTGTAGGTGTGGTCAGGGGATGTGGGAAGGTTTAGGCAGGGGAAGGTTAGTCATGGATTGGGTTGGACAGGATGGTGAAGAATTGCTTGGGTCATCCATGGAGTGGGGGTCGTCGAGGGGGAGAGTGGGGGCATGGTACTTACCTGTTATTAGTTCAGGGGATCAATGTCATGGCAAAGAACGCCGAAACTGGAAGTAGAGACGACGCGAAAACAAAACAAGGCGAAAACGAAGCGAAAGAAAACAGATGATGGAAGGGAACCAACAAGGCCGACAAAAGACCCGATGGAAACCACATCGAAAATCAACAGACGTTCCAATAATATTGGAAGGTACGAAGAGACTCGTGAACCAACGAGAACCATGACAAGCACCCCTGACCAAGGAACATGCAGGGCCAACGATACGAAGCAGTTTAGGCACTATGTACTAGGTCAATATAGAAATCCATCAATGTTTGTTTCACACCTTGTATGGATGTACCTTACCTGAACACTTTTTTTTTTTTCCTTTTTTTTTGTGAACAGCATCCCGACATAGGAGCGAAAAGGGTAAGGAAAAGGGGGTGAAACTCACCCCCAGGAACGACGGGACCGACGAACCCGAAGGAACACGGAACCGAACTCAGGGAGGGGTATACCCGAAAACAACAGGAACACAGAGGGAAGGAACAACCCCACTCTGAGGAACTGCCAGCCCCACACCAAAGGTACAAGAACCCAAGAGGGGCAAACGGGGCCGAGGCCCCCCAGGTAACCCCTCCCTAACCCCAGGAACCTCTACGGCATGACCCAGGGCCGAGCCGCACCCCAAAAGCCCCAGCTTAACAAGGAAAAACCAGGGCAGCCATGCAAACACTAATGAAGGGAGCCCACTGGTCAGACCCATACTGCACGGCAGGAGGAACCGACTCGAATGCCTCCGCCGCCACCCCGGAAGAGGAAAACCCCCGAGACCGCCCGAGTCTCAACCCAACCAGACCCCGCCCCAACCCCGAAACCCTCCTTTGGTACGGAGCAGGAAGCAAGGGAGGAAGTGAGGAGAACAGAAGGGGAGGAACAAGAAGCGGAAGGAGCCAGAGCCGAAGCGACCCCTCAACCCCAAGTCCAGACCCCATCCACCAAAACGGGGCAGCCTCGGGGCATCCGGGGCCGCAAATCAAGAGTGTTGCAGCAACACACACCCAGCAAGCAACGCCGCAGCCGCCTGCACCCAAGTATCAAGACCAGTGGCCTGGGTGAAGGAGAGCGCGTACCGACAACAATCATCGGACGACTCCGGGTCACAAAAATAATGACCCAACAGGCAGCATGGCGGAGGCACAACCGGTGAGTGTCACCCTGAGACAAGGGGACAGATCAACCGTCAAACTCGCAGGACGCGAGGGGGACTCCGGGGACACACCTAGAGGACCACAGAGCCCCTGTGGGGTTTCCCAGGGCCCTTAGCCTTTGGTACATGCAAATGGGAAGCCCAGGCAGGGTACCGCGAACCGGCGCCCAAATCTACCAACAAACTGCTAAAGCTGAACCCCTGGGACGTGTCCACTCACGGGGGCCAAGCGGGGAGTACCGCCAACAGAAGAATTCGAAAGAAATTCACCTAGAACAGGAAAGGGGGACCATAGTAAAAGCAGACCCCCCACCAGGCAAAAACAAAAACAAAAGAAAAACCCTGCAAGAGGACAACGTACCCAGGCTGAACAGAGCCGGCCGCTGTTAATGGTGAAAACTAGCTGTGCAGTACCCCGCGCCCCTACCAGTGACGAAAACTACCACCTACCCAGAGACAAACCAGGGCAACAAAACCCCAGCCGACGCCAAGGGCGGCCCAGTACTGAGCAGTAAAGGACACGGGAGGTAGAACCCAAGGTGACTTCTGGAAGGTGGCCCCAAGCCCCAAGGGCAGTACTTACAGGGCACCTAGGGAAGATAGCCCTAAGCACATGCAGCCCGAGTACCGTGGAATCTTACTCCTGGCTCACACCCCACCGGTAGAGACAGTCCACACCACAAGGCACAGAACTGAAACAAAAACCGGAGCCAGAGGCACTCGACCGGCCAGTAATACCATCAGCCAAGAACTGCCAGTTGGATCGCCGGCGTGGAGGGTCTGGGGCTCCCTCTTCCCCCTCTCGGGGAGGGAGGGTTGCACAGACGGTGGCATGATGACGTCATGCTAGTTTGATAATTTTGTTTGGGGAGTTCTGTCCACTAGTTCGGCTTTCGGTAGCAATAATTTCACCAGAATAGGGGTTTGTTTTGGGGCGCCTACCTTTTTGGGTGCCTGTCCCGGTCAATGGCAGACATAGAATGCTCCCAATCACAAGGGGGGTTTCTATAGGCCATTGCTCCTCATGCCTCTCTGAGGGGGCCCAGGTTCTGGCTCGTGGTCCCTGGTAGGCAAGAACTCCTAGCACTTTGACTGATGCCAGAAAATTATACATACAGGCATACCTCAGAATACGAGTTTAATCCGTTCCTGGAGACGCCTCGCCTTCCGAAAACTCGCATTCCGAAGTTAATTTCCCCATAAGAAATAAAGGGAAATGAATTAATCCGTTCCTGACTACCCCAAAAACCCCACATCAAACTAAATTTTTATACCTAATTCATCTAAATAAACCTACAAAACTGTGTTCCAGTTATTACTTACCTTGCTGTCGAGTGCTGTAGGCGTATGGAAGATGGTGAGGAGGGGGGAGGAGGAGAGGAGTTACTGTTTGGAAGGGGAGTCCCCTTCCATAATCACATCACATAACCCCATGCCTTGTAACACTATGGATACCACTTCTCTTTCTAAATTTTTCAAACCAGCCCCTGCTTGCCTTAAACTCTTTCTTATCTGCATCACTCGTTGCAGGGGTATTCTTTAGAAGGTCTTTGTGCAACACCCTGGCTTTCTCACAAATAATGGCCTCCGAAACACTATCACCCCTCAACTCCTTGTCGTGTATCCAAATTAATAACAACTTTTCCACTTCTTCAAGTATTTGTGGTCTTTGTGCCGTTAATGTTCTTACTCCTTTTGCCACTTTAGCACCCATAATCTTATTTTTCTTCTTAAGTATAGTGCATATTGTTGATGTGGCTTTGTTGTACTGCCTACAAAGTTCAACAACACGTGTACCGTTCTCATGCTTCCGAATGATCTCTTGTTTCTCCTCTATTGTCATCCTCACATGAGCTTTCTGGCCTTTATCCTTACCACTGACTTTCTTGGGACCCATGGTGAAATATATAATAACAAATTGTATAGACAAATCACCAAAAATCCAACAAAACACTGAAAATCCACGAGAAGAATTGATGTGGGGGTAGTCACTGAGCGCGAGACAATGGTAAACTGAGGGGCGGCGGGGCGGAGGGGCGACGATCGCCGAACCACCACGCGCTAGGTCGGCCTGTACGCGTATCAACAAACTCGCGTCCCGAAGTAACCCTCGCCTTCTGAGACAAATTTTTGGAGTAAATACTGCTCGCCTTCCGAAAACCTCGCATACAGGGACAATCGCATTCTGAGGTACCACTGTATCCATTCAGCCTGGATAGCTCCGGGGAGCCTCTGGGACTCACCCAGAAAATGGCGTTTCATTACATTCAACGCTGGTTTTTTAGGTCCAGATAGATGCAGTCAACACAACCATTTCTTTCCTGTAAATTATGTGGCTCTATCATAGAAACTGAGTAAATTCATAACACATGGTTTTCCAGATTGAAAAGCATACTGTCTTTTTTGTTATATAATTTTTGTCCAGGTGTTCTACCCATTTAGTTTTATTTTTTCCAATATTTTGACTACTACACTAGTCAATGATACAGATATATAATTAAGGGGGTCTTCCCCGCTGCCACTTTTTGGTTGAGGGGTGAGGGGTGGGCATGGTATTTAAACTGAGTGTGTTTGAGGGGTGAGCATGATACTTGTGGTTGTGGTTGAGGGGTGAGTGGTAGTCATGGTACTAAGCTGGGTGTAGTGAAGAAACACATGAGGACATACCTGAAGTGGGTGTGGTGGATGGGGTCATAAATATGGTGTTGGTAGGGTAGGTCAGCAGGGTACAAGCAGGGGCAGGAGGGCAGTGTCTCCAGGCTAGCCAGTTCCTGCAGCGCCTCCTCCACTCGGCAGGTGGACCAAGCGGTACACGGGTCACCTCCTGAAATGATATGTGAGGCAATGTGGTAACAAATAAAAAGTCTGTGGTTATGATGGTGCCATGCAGTGTGGGAGTAATGACAGTAATGACAGGCAGTACTGGCAATAGATGTACAGTAGTGGTGGCAGTGATGGTGACAGCAAAAGCACTGAAGCCCAGTGTGGCTGTGGGACTAAAGACCAGCGGTCTCCACTGCTATTCTTCTCAACCCTCAATTCTGTGTCTGTGTCCTGAATGTACAGTTCCATGGGTATTTATTGGGGAATTAGAGAGCTAAGCCCCGTCTACCAAAGTAAGATAGCCTCAGGTTCTCTACCTAAAGTCGTAGACAGTGGCTTGTCTGAAGGACACCCCTAGCTTCCCATCTGCCATTTATCAGCTTAGCAGAAGGCAAGGTCAATTCACACGACCTGACCTGTTGCAATTAACCCTCTAGAGGTGTGACATTTTTAATTGCTAAGACCAGACAACCTGGCGCCTTCCAATATCCTGCATGACTGCTTTCGTTGTATGTAAAATAAAATATCTTTATGGTATTACACTAATAATCCAGCTATTTGTGTAAAATACATTTAAGGTTTTGCTGTTGATGCTCATGCCCTTCACAAGTATCACATCACCTTGAGAATACTTCTTTAAAGTCATAAAATTCTCTTTTTTATCCTAACATATTTCCCTATTATCCCAGCTCAGTTATCAGGATTAGAATTACCCCTTGCCAGTTCATACCTAGTCTAGTATCATCTAGAAGTTTAAACTCCTAGTTGGGAGAGATGCACCCCGTACATGCATGTCAAGAGATGGGGGTCGTAGTAGAGGACGTTTAGGCAATGATGATAAGAGAAGAGGTAGTGTTGGTACCAGAAGCAGTGATAGTAGTAGAGGTAGGGATGGTAGCTGAGATATTGGTATTGGCATTAGAGATAGAAGTGGCTAGTATCAAATTCAACTATTTATTTGATATAGGAACAGTGAATTTTTTTTTTATAAATATACAGTGACCAGGGTGACAGAAGTAGCTGCTAGACTTCGTTTTAGCCTAAGTAGGCACATGGATGGGGCTACGATATGACAGTGATAGTACATGTGGGTAGTGATGGTAATATTAGAGACAAGGACAGTATTGACACCAGTGATGGTTATACGAGTGTCAGTAGTGATAGTGGAAGCAATGATGGTAGTAGTAGTAGTGGAGGCAGTGATGGTAGTAGAGATAGAGGCAGTAGTTGTAGTAGTAGTGCTGGTATTTATTGTGGTTATAATAGGTTTAAGATCAATAATTACATAAATTCTGGTGATTGTAATAACATTGTCTGTGGCAGAAAGAGTAGCAGCAGCAGAAGTAGTAATTGTACAGAAGTAGTGGTGGCAGTGGCGATGGCAGCAGAATCCAAACCAAATTTTGTGTAAGCCGTGGTATAAGCAGCATCGGTAAGAGGAAGAGCAGGACTTACCAGCAGCAGTGTGGTGACTGGTGGGCTGTAGGTCTTGTTGGTCCGTGCTGAGGATCTGCTCCAGGGCCTCAGCTAGGCCCAGCACCAAGTCCTGTGTCGACCCTGTCTGCCTCTCCTCTCCTCTCCTCCTTCCTTCTTTACCCCTTTTCTCCTTTTCGTCTTGTATTTTCCCTTGCTTTCGTACTGATCTTCTATCTTCACTTTGCGTGTTAATGGACTTTTTATTCATTCTGTCATTGTCCCCAATTTTTTTTTCTTTAATCTTCACTTTTGTAATGTTTGCCAACTTTTTCCTCTTTTTCTTCTTTTGAGGCCCTCTTCCTCTTAGTCTCGTGCCATCACCATGGTGTTGAGACGCTCCACCTCTCGTTCTATTGCCCTCACCGTGGTGTCGGGACCCTCCATCTCTTGGTTTCATGCCATCACCATGGTGTTGGGTATGTCCACCTTTTGGTGACATGCCATCACCATGATGTCGGGTTCCTTCATCTCCCGGTCTTGCATCCTCACTATGGTGTTGAGGCTGTTCCATCTTTATGGGATTCCACTTTTTCACAATCTGATGTGAAAATAAAAACATTTATATTTCATTGCAGAAGAAAATGCAACTGTCTTTGTATCTGTTAATATAAAAGTCCTGCAATAAGAGAAACCAGTGTTGTATAGAAGTAAATTGTTTTATACTAATTTGCTGGTAATGCTTAGATCTCTTATGACCTTTCCCAATCCTATGCTTTCTATCATTTGAAATACATTATTCCCACCCACCAATTCATGGTTATTTACAGTGTTTAAACTAAGCCGCAATAGTCTTGCACTCAAAACAGTTTAGCTGGCAATACTATTAATGTCGCCCCGTGAATGAGAGTAAAAATGAATTATAATGAAACGGCAGGAACTTGCATGTTGACCAGGTGATGTCAGTAATGGGATTGAAGTCTACAGTGGGCTACTTTCCTTTTTGCAGGGGCCGGTCATAGCCTTGCCCCTTTTCAAACCCTTCTCTACCCTATAAATAGGTCAGTTGTATCCTCACTCCTTTTCAAATTCCCCTTCTTGACCCCAGAATAGACCAGTCATACCCTAAACTTTTTCAAACCCTCCTTGCTGCCCCCCAAATGGGCAAGTCCCACCCTCCACCCGTTTAGACCCTGCCCCGTGAATTGCCTGGTCGTTGCTCCACCATTTTCAAAGCCTCCTCCCCCTCCCCCAACCTTCCTGCTGTTGTCTGTGTGGGGATATTTTTATTGTTGTTCTACCTACTTAAACCAGAAGCACTTTATTTCACCTGATGCCTCTGTTTACCTTCAAGGTCATCTCTGTTTGCATTTCTCAGTTGTCTACAAGGTTACCAGTGTTTGTGTTGTTCTCTTTCCCTCCCTCCAGCCCATTGCCGTCATGAGGGGGGCTTGGTGGGCGGCTGCCAGTGTGTGATGCTCTATGGGACAGCTTGTTCTCTGTCCTTTTGAAGCCTTATGTACCTGCTGCTGTCTTCACTAACTTTGCGGGTTGCTTTTTCCTCTTCATGTTTCATTTTTCTTCCCCACCTCTTCTCCATTCTGATTGTTCCCTTCCTGCTGACTTTTTGCCATTCTTGAATATTCTTTCTGATGTCTTCTATTTTGACACTGGGTGTTTGGGGAGAGACACTCTCTCACTCGTAGAACTGTGGTACCCAACGTTGTCAAGTGAGGGGAACACTTTTATTGTCAAACTTTGCCTTTGTTGCCGAGCAAGATCTCGACTGACTGACGGTTCTTAGGGAGGTGATTGCAGGGTGTACAGTATATCCATGATCCACCCCTGGGGGTGCATCAATGATATACTGGTATGTCTGGCATGTCTTGTCGTATGCCCTATCCTCAAATGGTGCGTATGGGGGGCTTATTCGTGGATGAAATTTTTACCTATTCATTTTTATGCCGTTCTCTGACCCTCCTTTAACTTCTCAGATTCATGGGGTGGGCGACCAGGCCCCCGAGTCGGAATGTGGATGGAAGGCCGGGCTCTGTAGTGCCACTACATTAGGCCCTGACCAAGCTGCATATTTGACACTTTCTGCTCCCCTCCCATCTCTGTGGCAGGGTTGAGTCTAAGCCACCTGTGGTGACCACCTCATCACTTGGCATGGCTCTGTCTCTTGTTGTAACAACTGCACCTTTTACCCCCTCTCTTACTGGGGGTGCTCAGCGTCGTCACCTCTGCACTTGCGCACGCATGATTCCTTCCCAATCTACTATTCTAGGCTTTGTTTGGTCCTGCTACGTGGACTAAGTATTTTATATCAGTCATGTTGATCCTACTCGTCCTGATGATTTATTCCTCCAGGAACACCTCGTTGATTCGGTGGATACATTTGTCACTTTTAACCCCACCCATACTGGTACACGTGTTGTTGCAGCCCCTTCTCAAGAAGCGGCTTTCCGCCTGGCTTCATTATTCTGCATTGGAGAGAGCCCTGTTCGGATCTCCAAAAATGCTTGGTTAAATGCCAACATTGGCACATTTATTCTCCCGCACCATGTTGCGACTGGTGATAAGGAACTGAAAGACTGCCACGATGATATTAACTACATCCTTGAGGTTCAAGGCCCCCAAGCCTTGATACGTTCATGTATCAAGTATCAGCCTTGATTTGATACATATGTGCGTTCACTCGACCCCCCTCGTGGTGGTGGTCATCAGCCTCTTCACTTTGTGAAGGTCACTTTTGATAGTACAGTAGGTCCCTTCCATCTTCTGTCATTCTTTCTAGTGCCAGATGCTCCTTTCAGGAGTACATCCCCCTCTCCTCGCCTTTGCAACAGGTGCTGGAGACCAGATATGTCATATGGTTGAGATATGTCAACCAGATATTTTACCTCTTCACCCCTCACTATTATATTTTGTGTTTATAGAAGTACTGTAAGGGCAAAGAGGTAGAACATCAGGTTGACAGAGCCCGGATGCATGGGGGGAATTGTGTAAAACCCTGGTTTGTGTCTCCGAGAGGCTGTGGGATTTGTGTGAGGAAGTAGCACTCCCGGTTGCAATTCTTTTACCGTGTCGTGGTGCAATCGACTAAGGCGCATCTGGTATCATCCCAGATGTAGGTTAGAACCATCATCATGCCCCTTGTGGATTTGTACACTTTTACTGTTTCAGTAAGTCCTAGTAACTCTTCCTACAAAACTTCCTCTCTAGTCGTTCCTTTAGAGTGGAACTTGGTACCACACTCTGCCTCTTTTCAGCAATTCGAAGGTGTACCCCAAGGTAGTATTCTAGGCACTATTCTTTTTTTTTTTCCCCTGGTTACTCTCAATGGTTTTTCCTCCCTTCTGGCATCTTCTCAGCTCTCTGTCAATGATCTTAACCCTTTTGCTGTCGAGGTGTCGAGCCTCTCCTTCAACAGCAGCTTCAACTTGTGATTGATGCCGTGTCATCTTGCGCCACCAATAATGGCTTCAAGTTCTCTACAACTAAAACTTGTGCTATGACTTTTACTCAGAAGCAGGTCATTCTTCGTCCCCCCCCCCCTTTGTTGATTTATGGTAGTTCTCTTTTGTACAAAGATTCTGCTAAGCTTTTGGGGTTAATCTTTGACACATGTCTTGGTCACTCCATATCTCTTACCTCCGAGTTGAATGCTTTAATGCCCTTAAATTAAGGTCTTGTCTGATACTTCTTGGGGAGCTGATAGGCGCACGCTCCCCTCTACATTTCTCTCTCGTACTGTCTAAACTCGATTATGGTTGCCCTGCTTACTTGTCTGCTCCTCCTCCTTCTCTTTGCCATCTTGATGCTCTGCTCCATACTAGGTTACACCTCGGCTCTGATGCCTTTCGTTCAACTAATCCCCTATGCCTGTGTGTTGAAACTGGCGTCCTGTCTCTACAGGATCGTCATGATCACTACTGTCTTCGCTACCATGCGCAGTTCTTTCAACATTCTCACTCTCACTTATGTTATGCTTTGATCTTTTACCCCTTCAGTGGTTTCTGTTTCCCTTCACCACCTACCTCTTTCTGTACGGTTGTAATGCTTACAAAAATGCTCTTGTGGTTTTTGTTGCCAATATTTCTCCTTGTGTCGTTCCATCCATGCCCCCGTGGAGGGTTCCCCTTCCTAAGTTTTGTAAAACCCTGACCCTCGTGACTGAAGCTTTTACCCATCCTACAGCTCTGAAATGCCTTTTACTTTACTTTACACTTTTCTTAACACTCCTGCTATATTTGCGTCTTCACTGATGGGTCAAAGTTTGCAGACGGTGTAGGCTACTCTGTTGTTTTCCTGAAAACACCTATATGTGTTGCCTGTCTCTGAAGACTGGCATCTTCAAGGCAGAACTTTATGCTATTTTGTATGCCCTTCATCAACTGTTTTCTCATTGTCAATCATTCTTTGTTGTTGTAGTTGACTCTCGCAGTGCACTCATGGCTCTGGAGTCCGTTAATCCAGTCCATCCTGTGGTAGTTGAAATTCAACATTGGCTGTTTCTTATCTCCAGCAGATTTAAGACAATGGAGTTTTGCTGGGTTCCCAGCCTTATTGGTTTACCCTTAAATGAGCGTGCGGACACTGCCACTAAGGAGGCTATCCGCACTTGTCCCATCTCCTGTAAAGGTTTTCCTTATTCCGACTTCTATCCAGTTATTCGTTCCTCAATCCTTGCCCATTGGCAGGGTCGTTGGTCATTTATTACTGGTAACAAACTGCATGCTCTTAAGGGTAGTGTGTTCCCATGACCTACCTTCCTACCACCGTAACTGGTGGTGGGAAATGGCTATGGCAAGGTTGCGTATTGGCTATACATGCTTTAACTCACGGGCACTTAATGGAGTGCTGCCCTGCTCCTTATTGTCCAAACGGCAGTGTCCCTCTTTCGGTCCTGCATATCCTCTTTGAATGTCCGAACTTCCAGGACGTGCGTGTTTTGCTTCCTGACCGTCCCCGTGGTCACTTGTCCCTAGATAGCATTCTTGTTGAATCAGATACCTTTGATATCATTCAGCCTATGAATATCCCACACATTTGATAGTGCTACATTGCCTTCCTGGCTTGGTACCTTCTTTTGATAATTACTTACTTACTCAATTCCACATAGAAAATGAATAAGGTAAATCAAACTGGTAACTAATATAAACTCTGGAAGCTTTCTTCTCTCTTCCCCAACACAGCCACTCCTCACGTCATCCAAAATAAGCCCCCAGACACAGTGTAGGGTGGGTGGGCTGAACTCACGAGGATGTAGGGTGGGTCACGTGGATGGGCAGTACTCACGGGGTGCCGGGTGAGTGGGTGGGCAGTACTCACGGGGTGCCGGATGAGTGGGTGGGCAGTACTCATGGGGTGCCGGGTGAGTGGGTGTTCAGTAGTGACGGACATAAGACGCCCATCTCCTGGCTCCTCGTCCTCCGTGTTTCGGGTCCAACCTGTCAATATTAATGTTGAAAATGTTATTGAGTAATTGATAATAAATTTAGATTAAGATTTATAAATGGCTGTGATAAGTGCATCTTGTGAGCTTAGATGGGTCGATCCGGTGTTAGTACTCTTTGATGGGGGTTCGGTCTGATGTTGAGTGAGCATTACTGGGGTACGACTGATGAGTAAACTATGATGGGGTCAGGTGTGGAGTAAAACAGTGTCCGTTGCACAGTGGTAAAACACTCCCAGCGCTTCGTAAGCGCTTTGGCCTGGATTCGTATCCTGGCCAGGGAGGACCGATGGGCGTCAGTCCTTAACTGTACGCCTCTGTTCACCCAACAGTGAATGGGTATCTGGTTGTTAAACAATTTGGCGGGTCGTATTCAGAGGAAAATTAGGATTAAGGACCTGCCCGAAACGCTATGCGTGTTAGTGGCTTTACAAGAACGTAAGAACTCTTGTATATATAAATAAAAAAATAAAAAACCTGGATGGGGTTCCAGCGTTGAATCAACTTTGAAGGGATCAAGTGTTGAATAATTCATGCCATGTGTCTTCACACATACTCATCATATTTACACCCTTTATACTCATGCTTACTCATCATAATTACTCCACTTACTCATGTGCCTGTAAGACTTACTCATCACATTCACACAGTGTATCCTCAGACTTACCAATTAAATTCATGTATGTCCTCAAATCTACTCATATTTATTTCAATTTATTTAATTATCTATTAATATACAAGAATGACATTGGGTTTATGAGAATACATAACATTGGTGTTCTTACATTCTTGCAAAGCCACTAATATGCATAGCGTTTCGGGCAAGTCCTTAATCTAACAGATAAGGTAAAATTAATAATAGGCACATTGTAGCAAAATTTGAGTTCGACATAATAACTACAATATAAATTGACGTAGATGATTACACGGTGAAGTTGGATGACTTAAGTACAGTGTACTGTACTAATATTGGGGGAGTGGGTACTACAAGATACACTGTGAGTTTGAAGCACAAGGTAGGAAACTATGAGGATGAAATTAGCTTTTTGGTTTTACTTTTGAATAAGGCATAGGTTGGACAATTTTTTAATTCATTAGGAAGGGGGTTCCAAAGACTAGGCCCTTTTATTTGCATGGAGTGTTTGCACAGATTTAGTCTGACTCTGGGGATATCAAAGAGAGATTTATTTCTGGTGTGGTGCTCATGGGTTCTATCACACCTATCAAGGAAAAGTTTCAGATCAAGATTAGCATTTAGGAACAAGGTTTTGTACATGTAAATAGCACAAGGGAATGTGTGGAGTGTGTGTGTATGTTTAGCATGTTTAAGAATTTTAACAGAGGGGGCTATGTTTTGTCTGAAAACAGTTTATTGTTCTGATAGATTTTTCCTAGGCAACAATGGGCTTGAATCCCATGGTTGATACTATATATAAGATAGGGATATATTAGCAAATAGTATAATGAGAGGAGAGCAGAGTGGGGGAACATAATATCTGGTTTTAAAGAGTATATCAACAATTTTTTTCGTTAGCAAACAGTATAGGTTTAAGAATGTTAAGAGACATTTGGAAAATCACTGATGTAATGTGCCATAGGGCAGCATCTTAGGACCTCTCCTATTTCTGATGTGCATCAATGATTTGCTAAATTTCTCATTCATAAACTTATACTATTGCTGACGATACTACCTTCATGTATTCAGACACAAAATCCACAAAATAAATATAAAAAAAAGAGGTGGATGTTGGAAACGTCAATAAGTTAGAAAGATGTTGGGAAACATTCATGTAGTGATAGTTGTAAAAAAGTGAAACTCGCAGGACGCTGAATTAATGGACGCATCCACCATTTACAACTTCAGGGCAAGTATGACAGAATATTGGAACATCAGGAGGTATAAACAAACCAGCTACAGTATTCTAGATTTTGGGCTCTAGAGCTAACTCTCGCCTACCTCAAACACAATTAGGTAACCACAAGGCTTGTCACAACCACCCTATAATGCTGCGCTTAAGTCGCGTCCTACCGGGCTTGTTCCAAACCACGGTTTTAATACATCACACTTCTACAACTTCCTATTTAATCAAAACTTTTGTTTTAATTATTTTGTTCATTATTATTTTAGTGTGTAATAAAGCCTTCGACAAGCCGCCGGGTTCCTGTCCTCATCGAGGCCACTAGGGTTAGTGGCCCTCCGGTAAAAAATACTGTATCAGGAATATCAGGTAAATAATTTTTTAAAACATGGCAAGGAATTATTTTAAATATCCACAAATTAATTGAGTTTTGTAGTCTGATCATATTGAGGTCTTATTTGTCTAGCAACTCTTCTTTTATAAACTGAATTGATTACCTTGAATCGTATTTTGCTGCTGGTGGTGATTGTGGTGGCGTGAGTTCGGGTGGTCCTGGGCTCGGGGCGGCAGGGGCGTCCGGACCTCGTCGCCAACACCTTCACCAACAACATGGATGCTCACTCTGATGTCTGGGTTGTACGGAAGCCACTTCAAGCTCTCGCTATTAGCAATATCAAGTGGAATGAGAAATTGGCTTGAGTCTTCTGTGGAAAGTAGACTCATTTCGCCTGAAGGGTCTTTCCAACTGTGGTTCGCCAGCATGGGTGCTCGTGTGGCTTGCAACAAGAAGTGATACTTGCTTCCTGTGACCAGCTCAACCAGTTCGGATTTCTTTGGGTCAAGTGGAGTGATGGAGGCCGGTGAGTGAGATAGAGTTGATGAGTGAGGCAAGGTTAAGTTACCAGGATGTCCTGGGGTCCAAGGCACAATGGATAAGGCTTCCTTGACCCGGCGACGTTGCTCGTGTTTTGAGTCTCCACCTTTCAACTGCCTCATTCTCTTTCTTCCCCTCCTCTTCTGTTTTATCCGCTTCTTCTTTCCCTTTTTTTTTCTTCTCTTTCCTCCATGAAGATTAATTGTCTTTACAAGCCTCTTCACCCTATTGGGTGTTGGGGGTAAAATTGTTCGCGCCTGCTCTGTCATCTGGGCTCGCCCAGACACACTCTGAAACAAAACAGTAACACAATGGTAACATGAAACTAATGATGGTGGTTTCCTATGTATTTTGGTTGTTGTGAAAGTACATTTGATAAATGTGTAAGAAGACTTATTAATGCATATCATGTTACTTGCTGGGAAGACAGGAATCATTGTTTTCAGGTATAAACCTTTACACTTTACCGCAATTGAGGAAATTAGAATTACAATGCAGGAAGTTGCCTCCCCACACTGCCCACAGTAAAGTTCAGAAATAGTACCATATTCTAGTGAAAGACCACATGAATTTTTATTTATACATACAACAGTTCTTAAATTCTTTGTACAGCCATTAGCACGCATAGCATTTCGAGCAAGTCCTTAATCCTAATTTTTACACACACACACCACACACACACGCATGCACGATTTCAGTGACTACGTAACATGTACCATAGCAATTGGAGGACAAAAAATTATAGTAGTAGTAGTCATATATAACCCTCCCCCCCCCCCACCAAATGACAGAAGACCCAGAATGGAATATGATAAACAACATGGCCACCATCAATATAATAGAGAGAGCAGCTTCTGTAGCTAGCAGGATCTGATCCAGACTACAAATCATGAGAGACTTCAACCACAGGAAGATAGATTGGGAGAACAGAGACCCACATGGAGGACCAGACACATGGAGAGCTAAGCTGCTGGACGTATCAACAAGAAACTTTCTAAGCCAACACATCAAGGGACTGATAAGAATGAGAGGAGAGGATGAACCAGCTATGCTTGATCTAATATTTACCCTAAATGAGTCGGGTATAAGGGAAGTTAAGTTGGAAGCCCCCTAGGGAATAAGTGATTACAGTGTATTGAGCTTTGAGTACCTGGTAGAGCTAGGAATTATCTCCACAATAATAAGAATTGGGAAACAAAGGGCTGGTGTACCGAAAGGGAAATTATGAGATGAGAAAATTCCTAGGGTATATACCATGGGACACAGAACTCACAACTAAGTCCATACAAGACATGATGGACTATGTCACCCAAAAGTGTCAGGAGGCAGTAAACAGGTTTATCCCGGCCTGACAGGAAAAAACCGAGAAGCAAAAGAAGAATCCATGGTTTAATAGGCCATGTATGAAACCAAAGGAACTGAACAAAAGGGCGTGGAGGAACTTCTGTAATAACAGAACACCAGAAAGTAGAGAGATACCAGAGAACCAGGAACGAGTAACCAGAACTTCTTGTTAGTGTAAGAAGAGAAGCTGAGAAAAAGTATGAAAATGATATAGCTAATAAAGCCAAGACCAAACCAAAGCTACTACACAGTCACATCAGGAGGAAAACAGTGAAGGAACAGGTGATATAACTTAAAATGGGTGAGGACAGGTACACAGAGAATGACAAAGAGGTGTGCAAAGAACTCAACAAGAGGTTCCAGGAGGTCTTCACAATAGAACAAGGAGAGGTCACTGCTCTAGGAGAGGTGGTAGTAAACCAGGCAGCCTTGGAAGGGTTCGAAATTATAAGAGATGAGTTCAAGTGGAACTTGTTGTATCTGGATGTGAGAAAGGCTGTTGGCCCAGACGGAATCTCACCATAGGTATTGAAAGAGTGTGCAGGAGCGCTTTGCTTGCAAATCTCCATAGTGTATAGTAGGTCACTGGAGACGGGAGACCTACCAGAAATATGGAAGACGGCTAATTTGGTCTCAATATACAAAAAGAGTGACAGACAAGAGGCACTGAACTACAGGTCAGTGTCCTTGTATACCATGCAAGGTGATGGAGAAGATCGCGAGAAAAAACCTAGTAACACATCTGGAAAGAAGGGGCTTCGTGACAACCCATCAACATGGGTTCAGGGAGGGTAAATTTTGCCTTACATGCTTAATAGAATTCTACGATCAGGTGACAAAGATTAAGCAAGAAAGAGAAGGATGGGCGGACTGCATTTTTTTGGACAGTCGGAAAACCTTTGATACAGTACCCCATAAAAGCCTGATGCATAAGCTGGAGAAACAGGCAGGAGTAACTGGTAGGGCGCTCCAGTGGATAAGGGAGTACCTAAGCAATAAGAAGCAGAGAGTTACAGTGAGGGATGAGACTTCAGATTGGTGTGAAGTCACCAGTGGAGTCCCACAGGGCTCTGTACTCTGACCTATCCTGTTTCTGATATATGTAAATGATCTCCCGGAGGGTGTAGACTCATTCCTCTCAATGTTTGCTGACGACGCCAAAATTATGAGAAGGATTAAGACAGAGGAGGACAGCTTGAGGCTTCAAGAAGACCTGGACAAGCTGCAGGAATGGTCGAACAAATGGTTACTAGAGTTTAACCCAAGCAAATGCAATGTAATGCAGATAGGTGTAAAGAACAGGGGACCAGATAAATGGTATCATTTGGGAGATGAAATACTTCAAGAGTCAGAGAGAGAGAAAGATCTGGGGGTTGATACCACACCAGACTTGTACCCTGAAGCTCCTATCAAGAGGATAACATCAGCAGCATATGCCAGGTTGGTTAACATAAGAACGGCCTTTGGAAACTTGTGTAAGGAATCTTTCAGAACTTTGTATACCACATATGTCGGACCAATCCTGGACTATGCGGCTCCAGCATGGCGTCCATATCAAGTCAAGCATAAGACTAAACTGGAAAAGGTTCAAAGGTTTGCCACCAGACTAGTACCCGAGCTGAGAGGTATGAGCTACGAGGAGAGACTACGGGAATTAAACTTCACGTCACTGGGAGACAGAGTTAGAGGAGACATGATTACACAAAAGATTCTCAGAGGAATTGGAAGGGTAGATAAAGACAGACTATTTAACACAAGGGGCACACGCACTAGAGGACACAGGTGGAAATTGAGTGCCCAAATGAGTCATAGAGACGTTAGAAATTTTGTTTTCAGTGTCAGAGTAGTAGACAAATGGAATGGATTAGGCAGTGATGTGGTGGAGGCTGATTCCATACACCGCTTCAAGTGTAGATATGATAGAGCCCAGTAGGCTCAGGAACCTGTACACCAGTTGATTGGCAGTTGAGAGGCAGGACCAAAGAGCCAGAGCTCAACCCCCGCAAGCACAATTAGGTAAGTACACACACACACATGCACACACACACACGCACACGCGCACACACACACACACAGGGGGCCTGGTAGCCTGGTGGAAAGCGCGCAGGACTTGTAATTCTGTGGCGCGGGTTCAATTCCCGCACCAGGCAGAAACAAATGGGCAAAGTTTCTTTCACCCTGAATGCCCCTGTTACCTAGCAGTAAATAGGTACCTGGGAGTTAGTCAGCTGTCACAGGCGGCTTCCTGAGGTGTGTGTGTGTGGTGTGGAGAAAAATAGTAGTAGTAAACATTTGATTGACAGTTGAGAGGCGGGCCGAAAGAGCAAAGCTCAACCCCCGCAAACACAACTAGGTGAATACAAATACACACACACACACACACACACACACACACACACACACACACACACACACACACACACACACACACACACATATATATATATATATATATATATATATATATATATATATATATATATATACACTAATATATGTGTACATACAAAAGAATGGGGGTGGTAGGAGAAGATAATATTAGTGTTCAGTGAGAAACCACAAGGTCTCCTCTGAATACTTTTTATTTTCTTCTCCGAGGCTATGGGTCCCCACATTGGCACCAGAGGTGGTACCCTCACAAACATATATATATATATACTATATATATATATATATATATATATATATATATATATATATATATATATATATATATATATATATTATATATATATATAATATCCCAGGAAGTAGACCGTAGTAGCTGTCTAACTCATGGTTACCTATTTACCGCTAGGTGAAGAATGCATCAGGTAAAAGGAAACGAACCAAAGTATTTCTGTTTCGGCCGGGAATCGAACCTGGGATTTACGTATGTGAGTCGAGAACGAAGCTGACTGTACTACCGGTGCATAGTTGATCAGTAAGCTATTGTGCTGGTCTAAATGTCCCTCCAGAAGTTGGTAGGCCTTAAGTCCAAAACCATATTAAGATTTGCGCCTATGGGTGAGCCCAAATGTAAATTATTGTGCATTCCAAGAATTAAATGACAATTCTCTCTGGGCAATGCCACGAGGCATCCTCGTTTTATCTTTTGAATATTGGAGGAACAATAAAAAGCGTGCAGACAGGGGTCCAAGTAGAGTATATTCCCCGCACACAATCTCTTGTGATGCTGGCTCCCAACTGGAAGCTGCCAGACGGCGGCTCATGGCTGGAAAGCAGCGCCTCCACGCAAGATCCACCTGAACAATGCGACCCGAGTACTGCTTTTACCGCTGCTCCCGTAGCTTCTCACACGTCACACACCGGCACGAACGTCGGCGGAAACACTACAGGAAAATTGTTTGGTTAATAAGTGAGGGCAACACGTGCACGTAGTGGGAGGAGGAGGAGTGGCGGGATACCCAAATGTTGTGGTCTCACACGTTGGGTGTTACGAGGTGTCCAATTATCTTGGAGCAGGAGCTGCCCCAATAGTCTCTCCTAAGCTGATTGATACGGATTATGGCGATTGTAAACTGTGGCAGGGATTGTCCTTGCTAGCGTTTGGCTGTCGTGGTCCGTCGGTATACCGGCTTATACTTCAAGGTGTATGACTTCATCAGACATGGAGGAAAACAGCTCTTGACGTAGTTGAGCTGTGTTGATCGCTTGTCTATATAACAGTGAAGTCCGCTGAGCGGTTTTAACACATCACTCTTGCAGGTTCATAGTGGGCGAGGTGACGTCCTGTATGGTGTCACACTACACACTTGGGCCTCCATTCTCAGCGTGATGGTGCTCTAGCATGGCTAGTATGTCAGTTATTCACCTTTATCATGGCAAGGTGAATAACTGATACACATATGACGTGCCGACGGGTTACTTTATTCCCTCAGACAGTCCCTCACAGTCCCTCAGATAGTCCCTCAGTCCCACACAGTCCCTCAGACAGTTCCTCAGA